TGTTTAGTAATGTAACTTAGAGATTGTGTCTGTCAATATCTCTTGTAGATTCGATGATGTCAATAATAATTATTATCAATATGAATCATAAGTGATCCTCTCTAGCGGAGATATATTTAGTATTAACATAGATTCATTAGATAAAACAAAATAAATTGAATTGAAGAAAAGTCAGGCCTTATCACCGAGATTTCGCTTCCTAGGTTACGAACCTCATGATAAAAACATTGAATAATATTCACCATGATCATACTCTGAGTAGTCATTTCAACTTAAACAGTTTTTTCATGATAACCGCCCTAGCCGTTATCGCCATCCTAATTAACGTAAAAATGTGTAAATTTCATATTCCTATAGCAAATTCCTGATTTTTTATTATTATTATTATTTTTGATGAAAATTTTAATCGGCTAAACTCTTATGTTGAGTTTAAATCCTATACCACAGTGTATAGAGATTTTTCTCAACCTCTCAGGTGGATTCAGGCACAAACACAACAATTACTTACCAAACAAAAAGTTATATGAAGTACTGGTGATATTTTGACCCCATCTATACATTCCCGAGAGGAAAAGAGGAAGTCCAGGGACACCCTGTATACCTACACAGTAGGTTCAATGGACTGACACCTATAAGAAAACAACTACTCCCCTGGCTAATTCCACGAAGGGCGTTGGATTGTATCCGACAGGCGTCAGTGCAGGACACTTCACAGAAAATTTCCTGCATATGCAATTGGCAATACAACTGAAAGGGTCGACCTTCAATTATGTAACGGGCACACTTGCAGACCGGTTTGGGGCTGATTAGCCACTCATCAGTGTAAGATAGTGACTATCATCGACCTAAAGTCAATGATATTCCACAATTGAAATTCAGAGTATTACATTCCTCTTCCGAAGTTGGAGCGAACATCACAAAATGTCACTCCATCTAGTGGACGAGGTACTAACCAACTGTATATCCGTAATTTGCCCGATTCCTCTGAATAAGGAAGAAAAACTTTCTTATTAGTCAGTGGGCTATGCTTGAAGACTGTCAGTAAACAATCTAAAGCAACTGAACTTCAAACGTTCAAGCCAGTCTCTATATACCTACACAATAGGTTTATTGGACTGACACCTATCAGAAAACAACTACTCCCCTGGCTAATACCACGAAGGGCGTTGGATTATATCCGACAGGCGTCAGTGCAGGAATCTTCACAGAAAATTTCCTGCATATGCAATTGGCAATACATTGCCAATTGCATATGCATTGCCATTGCAATTATAAAACTAGACTTCATTCACCTTTCATAGTTATTTTTGCTTTTTATGGTATTACACTTGTCAATGAATAGAGGCGATTATTAGTATCATTATTAATATTCACTGTGAGAACAGTGGATAAAGCCTATGTGGGATGCCATTATAAAATAAAACGCGCCAGTAGTTCTATCTCATGGGTGGTGTGGGAACGAACTGATTTTCAGGAAATGATTCCTCGTTTCAATTGAAAGGTATATATTTTCAGGAGAGATTAATTTTGAGAAAAAGGTTTTGGTTTTTTCTTTTCTCATCTTCATATAAAAAAATGTGGAAGAAAGAAGGTGAACACTTCCAGAATGAACTATTTTACAAGATATTACATGAGAGATGTACAATTTCATCCATATTCGTCATCTTTCACTGTCGTGAAATGCTCTTTGTATATAATCCTTGTAATTAGACCTATGTGGTCTGTTAGGATGAATAAATAAATAAATAAAAAAGTTAGCCCCAAATACGTACATCTACACGATGAAACATCCCCCTCTGCAATCGACAATGAAAAGAATATATTGTTCAGAAGTTATCAACGCATAGGAATTGACTTGCTTTATAACCTTCAATTTGAAGTTCACATATGTGTGAAAAATATTCACTCAAATGAATTAATCTTAGCAAGACACTTACACTCACTCATGATGCACGCTAAGAACTTCAACAGTAAAACCACATAGGTGTGGTTTGATAAAAAACCACGTTGTTCCAAATGTAATAACAGTTTTGGGTTCAATCTGCAATTGCGAAACGATTTATCATGACATCGAAAAGTTGGGTATATAGACAACTTTCAGTTCGAGGCCATCACAAGTGGTCGAATATTCTACTAAAAAATACCACGCTGAGAGGCAGCGTGGCAAACGTGAAATAAGTCGTCAATGCAAAATTGGAGATATGGTCCGAATCAGCAAATATAAAAACGTATTCGCTGAAGGTTATACAGCAAATTTAGCTCTGTTACGCCAGCAACGCAAAGTACGGAAATCGCATTCAGAAAATGCCAAAATTAGATACTTTTCAGGTGCCTTTTAGGTACCGAAGTCAAAAATTAGGAGCTCGGTAATTTACACCCCAACTCAATACTCAAAGTTGCGTTGCTAGCAGTATGTGATGCTGGCAACACAATCAAAATAATGATAAAATAATGAATGGTAAGGGAACACTATTATGTGCTAATTAAGTGCTAAGCCGTGATGATCGTAAAATTTTCTAATTAATACAAAAGCTTCCAATTTCGCTAAACAACAGATCTAAGAATCAGGTTTCTCGAAATTGAGGACGAATGCTCCATCAGGTTTAAACTAAGCGTGGTAATGAAGTGCTGATTAGGTGCTTTCAAGAAATTCAGATGAAACGACCGCGAAAAGGGAAAAAAAAATTCAAGATACCTGATTTGAGAAAAAAAGTAACAATATGCAATAAAGCCTTGATATACTCGTTAACTAATACATAGACAATCAAAATAAAGTGCTTATCAAGTGCTCACTAGATAAATAATAGTAAACCTAGATTCCATAATGATTATGGAATCATCATGTAACAACTCAGACCATCCGTCATATTGGTTTTCCATAATGTCCCATAGGCATTATGGAATCTAGGTTTACTATTATTTTTCTAGTGAGCACTTAATTGGCACTTTATTTTGATTGTCCATGTAATAGTTTACGAGTATCTCAATACTTTATTGCATATTTTTAATTTTCTTTTCTCAAATCAGGTATCTCGAATTTTTTTTCACTTATTCTTCACTATTTTAACTAATTTTATTACCACGCTTGGTTTATACCTGATAGAGCATTCGTCCTCGTTTTCGAGAGACCTGATTCTTAGATATGTTGTTTAGCGAAATTTTAAGCTTCTGCTTAGAATATTTTACGATCCTCACCGTTTAGCACTTAATTAGCACCTAATAGTGTTCCCTTGACATTCATCATTTCATTATTATTTTCATTGCGTAGCTAGCATACATACTGCTAGCAACGCAACTTTGAGTATTGAGTGGCGGTGTAAGTTACAGAGCACCTAATTTTTGACTTCGGTACCTGAAAAGCACCTAAAAAGTACCTAATTTTGGCATTTTTCGAATGAAATGTCCGTACTTTGCGTTGCTGGCGTAACAGACCTAGCAAATTCCACAACTGAACTTTTTTAAGTTGTGGAAATCAACAATGCATAACCTATAACTTATTAGCTACAAGATGGCGATCAAAGTTTTTTTTTATTGAATGGAATTGGATGAAACGGAAGATCCCAATAGTTTTTGTTGGAGAGAGTTTTGTGAAGGAAAGGACGCCGCCCATTTGTGAAGAGGCTAGAATTCTCTGAAGATCAATGAAAGTTCATTAGTTCAATTCCATTATTGTTGTAATTGATGGAAAATTGAATGTATTATGTATTGTAACAAAATTTGATTTTTTATTATTATCAAAAAATTCCACTAGAAACTATCATTCTACCTTAATAAACTCCTCCTTAAAAAATGATACAAGTTATATTCAAAGAATTGATTTTATTCGAACATATAATTTAAGAGTTATCAATTATCAACGGGATATATGTTCGTATACGGTCACTATGAATTCCTGAAAAAACTGTTGACTATACAGTCAATAAATAACTATACAGGTACCAGGTGCTAAAGGTACGTAAAAATAGTCTTACATTTCTTAAAGTCTCAGTGCTGATTTTTACGTATGTTTTGAAAATATTATTGGAAATTAATCAGGAAATGAGATCAGGAGCGAGTCTACAGAGGAGATGGATGTCGAGTTTACGACTCCAACTGACCTCCCTGTACATTTAGTTCAGGAGCGAGTCTACAGAGGAGATGGATGTCGAGTTTACGACTGCAACTGACCTCCTTGTGAATTTAGTTCAGCAACGAGAGCTTCTCACCTCTTCGACTCCTGATCCAATAACTGAACCTAAAAAAAGGTTTGGTGGTGCAGCCAGGTAACGACTGAGTCATCTCAGCCATTCTCATAAAACCGCCTTGCACCAAATTCTTGAGCGGCATACACAGAATCTGTCTCAGGTAAGGGAACAAACCTCCCCATGAGCAGGTTAGCAAACGTTTGTGCCCAAGTGATGATTGACCAAAATCAGAGGCGAAAAATCCCTACACGGTTGAATCTAAGGCATCGTCAGGTGTAGCTGACGTGCAAATTCCCTCATATGGAAAGGTTGTCGCGGGTATCGAAGTAGGAATCTCACACCTTGACTATCCGACTTCCTCATCAACGATAAAACAGCAGAGCATACACTTTGTGCCTGCCCCGCTGGGGACCGAATCAGGTGTTTAGAGTTCGACAGAGCCGTACTCTTTCTGACTTGAAAGACCACTGATCATACAAAGTAATCGACTTCGTTAAGAAGCTGGGTTTATTTGGTCGAGTGTGAATAGGTGTGAGCCAAAATAAAACCTTGTGGATTGCGGAAGAGGGTCAAATAGACCCACTCACTTTGGACCTAACCTAATCTAACCCTAACTGGATCCTCGTTCTGACCGAATGAATCACGGCAACCGTCTGCTCATGGAGCAAGTGTAAGATGCCAACTGCTAGGTGAATGGCGGAATGTCTCGATTTTGAAATGACCCTCATGGGATCATCGTGCATACTCCCACCATTGGTTCTATTGCGGACTGAACGCTTCGATTTACTGATCTCCACTCCATTCCGAAATAATATCAACCAATCGATGAAAAATAAAAAGCAGTTTCATACCTCGCATTTGTTACATTTTTTTTCTTTTCAAATATCTCCTATACTTGTCATGTAAGTAATAAGTAACTGTTACATTGTACTTTTATTATGCTTATTAATAAAGACTGAACTTTTAAAAACTATTGTTTTGCCGTAGGTTCCGTCAAGTATTTTGCTTTCCAAAAGAGCTCCCACAAAAAAGTTCAAGCTTGGCTGTTCTAGAAAGTAACAACGATTTCAACATGGACTACGGCATATCACGACATTGATGAAAAATATAAAGCAGTTTCATACCTCGCCTTTGTTACATTTTTTTTTCTTTTTAAATATCTCCGATACTTGTCATGTAAGTAATAAGTAACTGTTACATTGTACTTTTATTATGCTTATTAATAAAGACTGAACTTTTAAAAACTATTGTTTTGCCGTAGGTTCCGTCAAGTATTTCGCTTTCCAAAAGAGCTCCCACAAAAAAAGTTTAAGCTTCGCTGTTCTAGAAAATAACAACGATTTCAACATGGACTACGGCATATCACATATAGACAATAAAAGACAAAAATTAAACCTGAAAATCAATAAACGCAAATATTCAATTTTTTTAAACCATCAAGTGAAAGTTACTCATTCATCAATATTTAACATAATTACATATGAACTGTGTTATTTTGAGCTTTCTGAATCTACATGTTTTCCCAGAATTGATAATTTATCCTATCAAGGTTTTACGTAAAATGCGTATTGTACCTGTCATATTGTACCTGATTCCTGAAAGTAATATTGTATTGTACTCAAGTGTTTATTTATTCAAAATATACCTGTTTTACCAGATTCATCCATGTATTCCATAAGTTCTTTTTATTACCTAGTGATATTGTATCACACTTTGTTGTACCAGTAACTGATGAAGTTACTGTGTAGCGAAACACGTTTTAAATAAAAATTGTTGTGAAAATACTATAATTGATAATGATAATAATAATGATACTTACTATCCATGAAGATAGTTAATATTTATTGAATTTATTTTATAGCGCTACAGGGATTCAAAGTGGTTCATGCAAGTTACTTAGATACACGAAAATATGTTCTATATCACATCGGGTAACTCCCACTCTGACATAATATCTTGAAGTGATCTTGTTTCAGTTGAAGGACAAAAATTCTTCTGTATAAACCACAAATTTTGGTGGATACATAAAAATCCGTTGATTATTTATTTTTGCTGACACTATATTTATAAGAATATATTTTCTGAAAAATATGAACTAATTGTTTAATTGAACCGTCTGGAAAACTGATAGCCAGTACAAGTACTGGCTATCAGTTCAGCTGCAGAATTTGACTTCTATTTTTGCTTCTGCTACTTTGCAGCAGATCACTTTTAAATTCACATTTCTCGAGAATAATCAAAGTATACTTAAAACCACGTGAAAATGAATGGACGTGAAATAAACAAAATTTATGTGAACAATAATGAAACAATCCACACGATTTATATATGCGACTGGGTCGCTCTGCTCGCAAAAATATTGATACGTGTTCAAGAATTGGCGCGGTCAAAAATAGCAGCCACACGTTTTCAATAAAATTCGCACACGAGTTCTGATATTCATGGGACACAATCGCCAGTATCAAAAAGTATGGTCCGAATTACTCACTGGTACTCACTGAATGTGGTCTCGCACCAACACAAAAATGATAGCAGTAAGTAACCGCTCAATAGTTGCCAGTGACTTTTCCAGGAATATGACAGATACAGTTAAGTGCATTAAAGAAAAAGACTGGCGGTCTACGTCCTATAGCTGTTGGAAATTTTTATCGACGTTTAGTGGCGAAACTTGCTTATTTCAATCTACGAGAAAGTCTTGGAAATCTATTTCGTCCCCAACAATTTGGATTTGGAACAAATGGTGGTTGCGAGGCAGTACCCTGCATGATGTTATATTAACCAAAACGCTAATCCAGTTGAACGAGTTTTTCTGAAACTGAAACTTTTTAAAAATGCATTCAATACTATAGACAGAAATTTCATTTTACATTCGGTGGCTAATGCCATACCCTCTTAGATATCGGATCATGTATAAAAACAAAGGTTTTTATTGTACATTTTTTTACATGAGCTACCAACTCGTGGGAAACGGAATTAGGAATATATGTGTAGTTGTGAGCCGGAAGCGTTTTATTTCATTCTAATACATAACATACCCTTTTATTGAACAATATTACAGTTAACCTTCTTTCTTAATATTTGGTAACGAAATTATATGTCCGAACAAGAAGTACAGCAGGAAGATCTACTTGGACCACTATTGTTCTGTCTTCCTATCCATCATATTATAACTAAAATATCCACTGAATTCAACGGCTGGTATCTGGAGTTGGTTCAATTGGTGACAAAGCAAATGTGGTATTAGAAAATTTTCGTAACACAATGAGCCTTATCTTTCATCAATGAGAAATGTGAACTCATTTTTCTGGATAAACGAGACCCTAACATCATCGATCAATTTAACCTAATAGCTCCTGGTATACGAGTGATTGAAAAACCCAATTGGTTTCTTCTTGGTGCCTCATTATCTGATGATGCCTTGAAATTTTGTTTGGAAAAAAAATTATAATCACTTCGTGTCATGTCAGGACGTTTATCTATTTTACCAACACATGTCGCATTCCATTTATTGAAGAATTCATTAGCCATTCCAAAATTATCGTATATTCTGAGGTGCAGTCCTACTTGGCATGACGAACAGGGATTACAAAATATTGATGACGAATTAAGAAGGATGCTGAAACTCATCACTAACAACTATATCGAAGACGAAACTTGGTTACAGACATCACTTCCAGTTTCTAGAGGAGGATCAGGAATTCTTTCAGCCACTTCACTCGCTTTGCCATCATTTCTGTCCTCATTTTGCAGTGTTTCTAATCTGAAAGAAATCATCTTACATTAGCCAAAGGCAATATCTGATGTTGTTTTTGATCAGGAAGAATCTCTTTGAGAATCTAGAACTGGCCAAACAATGAAAATTGAAGACATGAAAAACCAGCAGGCATGGGATGAAAACCATTTCTAGATCAAGCAACTAGTATTTTACTAAAGACAGCTTCTGACACTTTAAGAAATGAGGCTCGTCTTCTCGCAGTAACTGTGAAAGAATCTGGTGCTTGGTTGAATGCTGTTCCTGTAGCATCACTTGGGACTATATTGGATGACGACCCTTTCAGACTTGCCATCGGATTTCGACTTGGTACACCACTGTGTGTTCAACACTTTTGTAAATATGGTGCATTTGTGGATGAATCAGGTAGCTGCCGTTTTAGCGCTGGTCGTTTATCTCGCCATTATGCAATTAATGATCGAATCAAAAGGGCTTTAACTTCAGCAAAAATTTCTGCGATTTTAGAACCCATAAGTACAAGTCGATACGACGGAAAACGACCGAATGGTATGACACTAATTCCATGAAAAATTGGTAAATCTGTTGTTTGGGACTTAACTTGTGTAGATACATCAGCAACTTGCCATTTTCCTGCTACTTCTGCGAAAGGCGGTCCTGCTGCCTCTTTAGGAGAAAGTTCCAAACTACGGAAATATCAGAATTTGGGAAATAATTATATATTTCGTTCAATAGCTGTTGAAACATTTGGTGTTTTTGGCTCTGAAGCCTTATCTTTCATCAATGAAATTGGAAAAAAGGTAACCGATGAAACCTACGAATCAAGCGCCACATCTTTTTCCATTCAGAAAATCAGTATAGCCATCCAAAGAGGAAATGCAGCTTCGTTTTTCGGTACTCTTCCTGATTCCAAAAAACTTGATGAAACTTACATGTTTCCTGAAAACCAATTTCATAAAGAAAATAGAGGTAATAAGAAACCACTTTATGAAATTAAAATAAAAGCAAATGGAAAAAATACTTTCTCCCAGCAAAATTCTCAAATGGGTTTCAAAGATATTTCGTATTGTTCAGTGATAAATTCTTCAGTCAAAACCTTTGGGTCAAATGGTAACACCTGTTTCATGAACAGTGTAATTCAATGTATATCAAATACAAGATGGTTATTGAAAAAGGATGAATTCATGAAAGATATCAATACTAGTAGGGGAGAGTTCCCTTGAACTGGACATTTTTATTGGAATGGCTCTAGCGGCTAAACGATTCATCATTTAGGAATTGAAATATTTATATCAACACGTCAGAAAATCAGGCTTCATAGTTCTACATTCAAAAGTTATAAAAAGATGAGTCAAGATGTTTAAAATTTTATTTTTCTTATTGTTTACCAAGTCTCCGATTCATGAACAGGTTTCTATGAAACGGACGGTTGTTTCCAAGAAATGAACACTAGACGATTTTTATATGGTTTTCATATTAACTGATTACAATACAGTATAAAAATTTAAACACATTTGTAACATAAAAAAATTAACTTTCCCAGAACTCCACAAGAATTGTGAGCCCATTTCGTGCAAAGTTTGCACTGGAGCCATTCTTCTTTGCTGTTTTGATATTCACCTTGACAGATTGGACAAACCGAATTTTCCTTTTCACCTTCTTGATCTCATGAATCATCTTTATTTTTTTCCACCATTTCTTCACAAAATTCTTCTAGGTTAGCAGGTGTCGGAGACTCATCGTGTAGTGATATTTCCGAGGATATATCAGTATCAGAATCGTAATCATTTTTAGCAACTTTTGGTAACTTTATATTCATTTTACTTTTCTTTGATGATACTTTTGCTTTTTGAGAGCCTCTATTTGTTTTTCGTTTCTTCGCCTTTTTCTCAAATGCTCTCATAAGTTCATCTTTTTCGGGAGTGTCAGTTATAACAGCACTTTTTCTTTTTTTTCTTTTACTTCGGACCGATTTCCGTGGCATTGCTTTTGGATACGGTCTAAGAACTTCAGGTGAAATTAGATTTAGTTCAGCTAGACCTTGTAATGTAATTGATCGATTTAAGTTATCCACACTTTTAGAACAGCAAGGTCTTGAATGGTCAGAGCTAGTTGAGGGGATAAATTCCAAACAGGTGCTGTTAAACTTGGCGGTCTGCTCACAGGAATTTGAAGTGTTCAAGTTAGAATTTCACTGAGAAACTATGTCCAATCCTCCAACTTCAGATAAATCATTGGACTTCTTGTCTTGAATGTCTTGTTCTTGGATTTCTTTGTTGCAAGGATTTTGCCTGTCGGTTACAGATGATGCCAGAAAGTCGTCTTCAGTAAATATTGATGAATTAAATGTATATATTCCTGTTTTCAGAAAGCTTTTACAAATATTGTTTATTGAAAAAGATTCACTATATGCAACATTAACAAATCCTGCAACTTCGTATAGACTGCCAGGATTTGAGACAAGCCAATTATTTAATGCCACTTTGTACCTTGCCTTAAAAAGACCGTAAACTGCCACATCAACTGGTTGCATACGGTGAATGCAATGGGGAGGGAGTGTTAAAATGATTATATTATTTTTCCTTGCAAAATCAATTACTTGTATATTCACATGAGTAATGTGGTTATCCATAATAATCAAAGCTTCATCTTCACTCGTGGGTTTAACATGGTTGACAAAATGCTTTAGAGACTCTACAAATATTTCTTCTGTAATCCACCCAGATGGATTTGCAAACCCTTTAGACCCTGTCAGTGCATCTTTAAGCATAATGTCCTTAAAATAAACCCGAGGGAACACGAATACAGGTGGCAGTGATCTGCCGGCAGCATTTATAAAAAAAAGTGTGGTGATAAGCGTTCCTCTTTCGGCAGATGCAATTTGACCAACCTGTTTGGAACCCCTTACCGCTATAACTTTTGGTGATTTTGTAACTGTCATACAACCGGTTTCATCCAGGTTCCAAATCATGTTGGCTGAAAACCCATATTTCTTGTACAAGCTTTCTAATTTGGAAAAAAAGGTGCCTACGTTTGATTTATTGAAACTAGATGCTCTGCTTAGAGACGTATTTTCTGGCTGACGGAGCTACAAATCCTTATTGCGTTTCATAAACCCATGAAGCCAGTGAATTCCAGTTTTAGAATTTCTGTTCCATTCTGGTTGAATAGATATGTTGTTCGCCAATGCAAACTGGTATGCAAGCTCTCTTGTTTGCGTGGTAGTTAAGCCATGACACATTTTCGATGTTGTTTTAAGGTGAGAAACTAATAATTGTTCCTGTCCTGCCAAAAAAGTTTTTCTGTTTCCAATATTGCGGTTGTGAACAAGTTCATTGCCAGGCGCACTTTTCGCTTTTTTTACAAGGACAGCTAATAAAGACTTTGAAATGCCGGAGTTTTTAGCTGCACTCCGAATCGACAAATCTTGGTTTACAACTGCATCTACAGCTTTACGAATTTCTTCGTCAGTCTTTCTTGTTCACTTTGACATAATAAGCCAAGCCTAAAAGAAAAAAAGTCGGTCAACTATTTTACTCAGAACTTTATTCCTTGTTTCCTTGAATCGGACGTCCGATTCATGGATATCGTTGGTGTCCAATTCATGGATTTATTTACTTTAAAGTGAACCCGTATTTTTACTTGTATGGTTTAAAATATTATTGAGAGCAACATACCTGGGTGAAACTAACCTAGTAAGCAAACAACCAACACAAAAATCTTTCGGATATCTTCAAAAATAGCCAGTCTAAATAAATTGTCAAAACAGGTAAATACTTACTTTGCTTGCCACAAATATTTCACTGAGTGTACTAATACCAAACGATAACGCCGACGCACCGATACTAACACCAACACGTGTTATACGGTCAACTAATATTCAGTAAGCATTACAAATAGGTAAGTACGCAACCAAACATGCATAAACCGATGTGTCCGTTTCATGGGTTGTTCTAGTATGAAGGGTGCTTTAATCAAAGCGTTTGCAGAAGCCATCAAGGAGTTGTGGTCAGAAGATGCATTTGATAAAGTAGTAAATACAGCCTCTTTGAAAAATCAGGGTAATTCCAATCAAGATGCCCAGGAGTTTCTTCGTTATCTATCAGAAGGTTTACATGGAGACGTTAATATAATTGATGAGAAACCTAAACCAATTTCAACGAAGATTGATGAAAAATTGAGCCACAACGGAAATGCACAAGAGTCATGGCTCACATATTTGAGGATGCATAACTCGTAAGATTGTAGATAATTTCGTTGGTCAATTAAAATCCACGATGAAATGCACACACTGTGGACACTCATCAGTAACATTTGATCCTTTCTGGGATTTGTCTCTCTCCATACCACAAAGAACCGACCAATTGAGTTTGTGGCAATGCTTGGATTCGTTTACAAGAGAAGAAACTTTAGATGGAAATGAAAAACCGACGTGTTCGAAATGCAAGGAAAGGAGAAAATGCACAAAGTCCTTATCAATCCACAAGTTTCCCCATATTTTAGTAGAAAGTAGAGGCAAATTGAATGATGTCATTGAATTGCCTGTAGAAGGTTGAATATGGATAATTTTGCAGCAGAAAATGTGGCTACTTGTTATAATCTATATGCACTTTTAAATCACAGTGAGACTACTAATAGGACATTATACAGCATACTGCAGACACCCGTATACTGGCGGGTGGTACAAATACAACGATTCACACGTGTCACCAATTTCACCAAAATCGTGTGAGTGGAGAAGCATACGTCCTCTTTTATGTAAAAGATGGAACAAAATCGCACCTTTAAGATAACCGAGGGAAAGTTTCTTTGTGCAGTTATTATTTATTTTTTGTTAATTTCTTACATGTACCTGTTTCGTCCATGTACAACTGAATGCATGACATACACTTTGTTTCTATCGTTACTGAAAGTCAAGATTTCAAAGTATTGTTTAGTCAGTTACTAAACATTCAATCACAAATAATGTGGTTGATGAATATTTTGCCTCTTCACTCAAGAGTTATTCGTTCGTTTACATCTAGTAGTTTCAAAACTGAACCAATAATTATTGTGCATGGGGGAGCTGGAGACACTCCTGACGAATGGGTGCCTGATAAAATTTTAGGTATAAAAAAGTCGGTTTCAATAGGTTATAAGATTCTGAAAGATGGCGGAAGTGCACTGGATGCTGTCGAAGCTGCTGTCAGAGTCATGGAAGACCTTGAAGAATTCAATGCAGGTAATGTCTATTGAATTAACTATTGAATACACCTTCAGAATATCTGGACAATGGAGAAATGATAAGCTGTCTGATTTCGAACAACTTTTGTAACTTGACAGTTCGTACTGAAACCTCTGGCGTATAATGAGTCTATTGACTACATTTTTCCAACACCAGAACAAAATTACGGTTTCTCGACGCGCGTTTCGCTAACCAAGTTAGTGTCGTCATTATAATGATATTCTGAGGACGCTAACTTTGTTAGCAAAACGCGCTTCGAAAGATCGTAATTTTGGTTCTAGTGTTTGGAAAGTGCTTCCAATAGAACATTTGTAAGAAGCTTCAAAACACCTTAATACGAATATTCAGACGAAACTAGGTCAAATATTTTATCTCAGAGGTCATAATCAGGTTATAGTAAAGTCACAACAGTAGTAATAAACTCACTAGTACATAATTGATGTATTTAAACAATTTGAATTTATTTGTGAAAAAATTATGGAAATGACAAAAAAGCTGATTTACTAGTTGTCAAATTTAATTTTTGAGGCTAAAAGCACAGAAGCAGTGTTACCAGGTTGCAAAAGTAAATGCGGTTCTAGTCTCTATGGGATAACGACGCAATTCTTTATCCTTAATACTGACATCATTTGGAAATTTTGCACCAAGTCTTTTCCATTGATAACTTCATCAACTTCAATGTTGATGTCGAAGATTGATTACACGTTTCTCTCCATGTATTCATGCTCCATGCTCCATGTGTTCATGTATTCCTTAATCAAATCTAGAATACTTCCTACTCTATTAACACTATCAAATATGAACTTTTTTAACTCAATATGTGGAAAATATTCAAGAAAATTTGTCTAAATTTTATAGAATAAGTATATATGAGAGCAAACAATGTTGTATAAATTTTATTTAACCATGATCTGGGCCACCACAATCGCCTTGAAAGTTGATCTTTCATAAGACCTAATGTTGAAAATTTGACTACGGAAATTGGGAAATTGTAAACAAACGTTTAGACTACGATTGTGAAAATAATATCATTCTAGGGCATTTTGATCAATATGTCAGTGATTCATTTGGATATATTATGTTGTAATTATTCTTCCGCAACGAAACTATCATCATTGAAATGTCGAAGGTATTATTACATTAGAACTACGTATTGATGTATTCATTTCGCCCAGGGTATAATGGAATCAAATCTTGCATCTGTTAAAATCGATTTTTCGTTAACCCCTCTACGAACAACAACCTTCAGAAATCGAAACTTGCCCGAGCTAAGAATTGACAAGGTAATACTATTAAACGTGCATCATCAATCAGGATAAGCTGACGTTGTCAAACACGTTGCCAAAGACGATTTGGTAATCTACACGAGGATTCAAAAACGTGAGAACCAGTCACATCAACCTTCAAAAAACAGTCCAAGGAATAGAAAAATGCCAGGATACTACCGGTTTTAATCTCAGTTTAAGGATATATTTTTGAAAATATATTAATTCAAGGGAAAGAAAGGTTTTGTGTAGAACTGATGGAGAAGTAGAAACTTCTCTATCTTTATATATAAAAAAAACATGAATCTTTTTTTTCAAATAGAATCATGATCAGATAGTGAACGTGACATTTCCAGAATCATGGCTTCTTACTTGATACTGAAGTGATAATACCATTCATTATACGATGCAATACACCTCTCCAGAATGTAATTTTACTACTGATTTCACTTTGAAATAAAGTATCGATGGTATTTTCTTGTAACCAATTACTATGAGATAGGAATGTATTAATATGCAGAGGAGTATGAATTGATAAGACGGTATGCTAATAACCAACACTCATACTGCTAACAACATAAAAAGCAAACTGGTTCCAATAATATCAGAGCCAACACTATTCAAAAAAATCACAGTTGCCAAGAGGTGGTCGAATTCATCAAACGCCTGGGGAAAAACAAAGCCCCAATGTGTCGATGGGATCAAAGCAATTCTACTACGCAATCTGCCGCAAAATGATGTTGTACAGCAAGTACACATAGTTAACGCTATAATTGAACACCAACATTAAAACATTGTCTGAAGTATGCGGAGGTAGCGCCTCATAAGTCTCAAAAAACGCAATCGCTATCGCCAGATATCGCTTTGTTGAAAATTTGTCTACTTGATTATCCAGAAGGATAATGGACGATAATGTTGGTCTTTCGAAATCACGCAATGAAATCAGAAAATAACTACAAAAATAATACAATTTTATAAAATTAAGCAAATGTAATTGCACCATTCAAAGTCAATTCAACATATTGAAGTTTCAGGGTCAAGAAAAATTCAATATTAAATATATCCAACTGCAAATAATTGAAGAGAGTTCTCATGTTTCACATGTATAGTACTACTAATTTCAACAATGACGAAGAAAGGATATAGAATTAATTGTAAATTCTATATTGATTCGGATTTACAAAATTCAAATGATATTTTATTCTATGAGTCTTTCTTTGAAGAGAATACATTTTTTATTCGTTTTTCATCATTTACAGCCACATTTCTTAGTTCCCAGGTGTAACTTCCTAGTGTGCCTCGATTATTCTCGTGCAGAAAACTTCACGAATAGAGGGCCTATCTCTATACACTTTAGTTTTCAACGTTACCCATAAATGAAAGTCTAGGAGGATGAGATCAGGGAAACGTGGGGGCACATCACGAGAGGGCTATTAGGTCCAATTTACTTCCTAGGTAGGTTTCTGTTAAGCCATTCCCTGCTTGTCCCATACTTGTGAACGGGTGAAACGTCCAACTGAAAAATTGATTCATTTCTTACATCCAGAGACAATTTTTCCAGGAAGTCGGATAACCCATTCTCCAGAAAATGAACGAATGATTCTCCATTCAGATTTCGTTCAATAAAAAAAAATCCTAATGATCTTTCATTTAGTATCCCATACCACACATTCTTGGGATATTTGATTTCGCCAACTCACCACCCAGTGTGGATTTAGATCTGCCCAATATCTCAAATTGTGAGAAGACACCACACCGTCAGTGGTGGAAGTCGCCTCATTACTGAATAATATATTTTTCAAGGTAATTGCAATGGCCCCACAAACAGTATTCCATTCTTCGTTGTTCGTCCACCGTGTGGAGTGTGGAGAAATTTCGGTTTGAACTCATGCATTTTATGTCTTCTCAAAAATCTACAAATTTCACTTTGCCCTATATCGAGTTGTAGTGACAAATTTCTCAAACTTTTATGGAGATCAGCACGATATGCTGTCTTATGATTTTTTTCGAATTTCCACACCTTTATTACTTGGCCGGTTCTCTTGAACTGGTTGTAAATTTTGGAAACTGTTCCAGAGTGTACAGGAGTATTGAGTGGGTGTCTTCGATTAAATTCAGAAGCTGCTTCGTGATAAGACCGCGCACCTTCTCCAATCATCAGTTTTATTTCAATTTTCTCTTGTACAGTTCGTCGAGACATGTTTTAAACTAAATCGATATAAAAATCAATAGATATCTATCAGAAAAGAAACTTATAGGTACACATAAACAACAGTACCAATGGGCATTTCATTAGTTCGAATTTCCATTGACTAATTGACGAACATAAATTGATTTGAAATCCCTGAAAAAATCTATAGAAATTAAAAAGATTAGCCAAAAAAATAACAATTATATGAAGCAAAAAAAACTGAAACTACAATGAAATAAAATACACGCAACAGTTAAAAACTGAACTATTAACAAGAAATGAAAATTAAAAGATTCCAAGTCAAGTTACTTCACGACGTTTCGATTGTTAGTATCCACAATCGTCTTCGGATGATGACTGGATTCATTCCTCCGAGATCAGACTAATTATAGGTCACTCGAGTGCATTTTGGATGTTCACTGCGTATCGTTTGACCCTCGCTAAAAATCTCACGTTAGAAAATACGACCTCGTTAATCCCCAGCTCGCACAATTTCCGACTTATGAGGGTTGTTGTTCATGAAGCGTCAGCTGATTGACGGTGAATCTGATTCGACAGTAAGAAGTCGCAAGTCAGAGAACTGCATTTTACCGTGGGTCACATCATTTAATGCTCATATTGTTGAACAATGTCACAATAATTTAGAGAAAGTGTTGTCCAGGTTTGAGTTTGCACAATATCAACAATTGTGATGAAACTGGATCATCAACTGTGACGGATTCTCCGAAAATTATTGCACACTGTGGGTCTGAACAAGTGGCCCAAATGTCATAGGGCGAAAAACAAATATTAGTGTAGATACTAAATTTTATCAGTGCGATTGGCAATACAGTTCCACCTGTTTTTATATTCTTTAGGGTTCACTCCAAAGACTGAATGCTCCATGAAGCACCAATTAGAAGTTTAGGTTTAATACGAAAAAGTGGATGGATGACGGAAGGACAATATTACCGATCATTGAAATACACTATCTGTGTCAGATGTTTGCAAAAAATAGAGTTCTACTGCTTCTTGATAATCACAAGTTAATATCAGGAAGTGGGAAAATTCTGAATGAATATATACCGCCGGGCAGCCGGGCAAATTGAGAAAGGTTAATGCAGTCAAGTCAGTCAAGCGGTAATATTCCTTTTTAAATTACGGCCCTGGAAATTGGTTGACTGAGTTGAATAAAAACATAATAACAATTTCACGTCTCCCTAGGTATCGTAGAGTTTTTCGAGAATTTTTTTCATATTTTAGGTAGCTATTCATATTTTTTCCATTGCTGTGAGCGTTTTCTACAATGAACTTTATGATTACTTGAAACATATTTATCAAAACTATATTATATGTGTTTTAATAAGCAGAAAAAGAAATGATAGCAATAATTGCTGTAGACATTACCCACCTAAAATAATTACAGGCACGGGACTCGACGGTGAATCTTGTCCTTAAGGACCACTGTAAGGTGATTTAGAACGAAGTTCACTTTAAAAAGCAAGCAAGAAAAATCTTCGAACAATCGAGCAAATATGGCGCATCGAAACGTTTCCACTCAGGTCTCTACAGACGAAAAAGAATCTCGACAGTCGTTCATAAAAATCCCGACACTGGAAATACTGTTTGCAAATGCAAAATACCCGGAGTTTTTTGGTTTTTCCTGTATATCTCCAAAACCAAAAGAGCTATATTCGATTTCTTCACATCATTGAATAGGTCTCTGAAATAAGCAAAAAACTCCAAATTATTTTTTGCCCATACCTTCTTTATTCGCAGAATATTGAAAGTCTGTCCACATTTTGCTATTGGCACTTGATGTAGGCTCTCAGAATATATCCATGAATCTTTTATACAGGGTGTCATCTGAATTTGGCAACACCCATCTTTGAATTTTTGTGACAAAAATCTATTCGATTTATTTCAATTTTAACTTGTATCGTTTCGCTATCTGGTGAATTTTCTCGGTAACTTATCCGCCGTAGTGGAGGCCGATTCCTGTTGTTTACAGTTTTCTGCCGCCCTTAATCATATGTATCAAAGGCTCTCACACCCTCCGGGATAGGCAACCAATATTTCACTCTGACGGGTATTTTGCATTTGCAAACAGTATTTCCAGTGTCGGGTTTTTTATGAACGACTGTCGAGATTCTTTTTCGTCTGTAGAGACCTGAGTGAAAACGTTTTGATGCGCCATATTTGCTCGATTGTTCGAAGATTTTTCTTGCTTGCTTTTTAAAGAGAACTTCGTTCTAAATTACCTTACAGTGGTCCTTAAGGACAAGATTCACCGTCGTGTCCCGTGCCTGTAATTATTTTAGGTGGGTAATGTCACAGCAATTATTGCTATCATTTTCTTTTTCTGTTTATCAAAACACATATAATATAGTTTTGATAAATATGTTTCAAATAATCATAAAGTTCATTGTAGAAAACGCTCACAGCAATGGAAAAAATATGAATAGCTATCTAAGAGACGTGAAATTGCTATAATTTTTTTATTCAACTCAGTCAACCAATTTCCAGGGCCGTAATTTAAAAGGGAATAATTCACACAATTTTGATCGAATATTACCGAAACATCCCGAAATATAAAATTCAATTTAATTTCTCAGTATGAAGTGAACGTCTACGATCCAAAAACTACAACAAAAAATACAGATCCGTAATTAAAAATTCAAAGATAGGGGTGGCCCAAGTCAGATAACACCCTGTATGAAAGATTCATGGATATATTCTGAGAGCCCACATGAAGTGTCACTAGCAAAATGTGGACAGATTTTCAATATGTCTGCGAATAAAGAAGATATAGGCAAAAAGTAATTTGGGATTATTTTGGTTTTTCCTGTATATTTCCAGAACCAAAAGAGCTTTATTCGTTTTATTCACATCATTGAATAGGTCTCTAAAATACACAACTTTGCCACAATTTAATCGACACTCTATCTCTTATCGTTTACGAGATCCCCATGTACAGAAACGAATTTGAATAGCCCTGTATATGGAGTGGTTTGAAACTCTGGCCATTGAAGAAGCCCACAAGAAACTTCGTATCTGGTTGATATACGTTGACGATATCTTCATAATATGGAACCATGGAAATACTGAACTAGATATCTTCCTGAAACACATCAACAGCGTAAGACCTTCCATCACTTTCACAATGGAGAAGGAAGTCCACAACGAATTGTGAATCTCAGAGGACCGACACATGGAAAACATCTGTATACCGAAAACCCACTCACACGGGACACTATCTGACCGACGAATCCAACCACCATCAATCGACTAAAGAGGAATCATCAAGACTCTATTAGATCGTGCTTTCGGGCTCTGTAATACGGAAGAAGGTCTCAAGAAGAAACTAGGCATTATCAAAAATGATCATCAATGGAATAGCTACTCCAAAGGGATAGTGGAACAGACTTTGGCTAAAAGACAAAAGTAAGTAGCCTCGCAAGAAAGAGAAGCAGTCACAACCAGTGCTTGCACTACCCTATATCAGAGGATTCTCGGAAAGGAGAGGAAAAATTGGGTCCGAGTACAACATCACAACTTGCTTTAGATTCGTAGCAGGACATTAAAAAAAGTCGCATACATGTTGTTCAACAACAATAGGCAACATATGGAAACTCAAAATCAAGCAAAAAATGGCCTACTTCCGCCAAACGGTCATCTCCCACTGAACCGGTGCTTAATATAATAATAATATATATAATGATGCTTAAGCACCGCGGTGCTTAATATAATTGTTATTTTAAGTTATTCATTTTTATTTTTTTTTTTTTAGTTATTTCAGGGATTTCAAAGTATTTAATATATCAGACAATGGAAGTCCGAACTAATGAAATTCATAGAATTAGTTGTTCTGAAAGTATTTTTTCTCTCGCGTAACTCAATATTTATACGGAAAGTAGTTATTTCGAAACGACTTTTCATTCCAGTTTGTATTTGAAAGTAACTTCCATGCATGATCCACATGTATTTTCAAGCGTTCATTTTGAAATTGAATTATATCTTCCTTCCATGTTTCCGTACTGGTTTTTATCAAATGCAGGAATCAGAGGAAACGAAGAAGATCGTGAAGCATATATGTTGAAGAGTCATTTTAGCAGAGCGATCGCAGAGCGTACTTGAAGAAATTTGTAAAGGACCTCGTAATTCTAGTTAGCAGTATTATCGATCAGAACCAAAATATGTGAAACCCACCATTACCCTATTCTCTCATTTCATTCACCGGAAACAGTTATTTTTATTGCTTATGATCTCCGTCATTAGCGATACAATCGATGGAACTATTTTTCTCTTAACTTCTCCATGCATGTTCGCATTTTGAGAGTACAACTTAACGAATTATAATTTTTTTGATAACAGGATATGGATCGGTATTGAACATTGATGGAGAAGTGGAAATGGATGCGAGTATTATGCTAGGAGAAAACTTGAAGTCAGGTGCAGTTACACTTGTGAAGGATATAGCTCACCCTATAAGGTAATCAATATTAAAAATTTACTACTCTACTCGAATTCAATATGCGATAAATATTATCCTTCTCATACACATCCATGATATTTTCGAATATTTTTTCTTTTCTTTCATTTTCACACAAACTTCACACTTTCTCTAACTCATCAAAAAATTTTCAAAATACAAATGCAGCGATATCATTAACATGTTCGGTTTTTGGATTGTTCACTGTCTGAAACGAAAATCAATAAAAGTCAATGCGTTGAGTGAAAAGTAAAAAATTACTCGATGAAATCATAAAATTCAGGAATCTTGACTCAAAAAAATTTAGCGGTTATTTGAGCCCAGCCACCATTCAATGTGCGGTATCCAACAAAATCGAACGTGTTGGAATTTATTAGTTGATGGGTTCTATCATTGATGAACTAACTCTCACTTCGAAACGAGTAAAAACCATAAGCATTTCTTTATGTTTTTGAACTTCATCCAGACCTTACCTATGTGAAACGATGAAATCTTTATATATACTTCATCATTCATCCTTCAAAATAACACTCATTGAATGTCATCCACCAGCTGAGTTCCTGAAAACTGATCGGAAAAGTAATTGGGTAACGGGAACGAAACATCCGACTGGTAAATACTCTTATCCTTCATCTCAATACGTCTTTCATAACGCACACTTCAGTCAGTCAAAAAATATCTATTCACTATTCCAGATTATTCACATGAATATGGAATGTTGATCAAATTGAATAGAATCAATTATGTAATATAAGTAAAAAAAATGAATTTGATATTTTGATGTTCCAAACATTTGTTTGAAGGTGGTTGACAATGTTTCGTGGTGTATTTCATCAGTTCGGACTTCCATTGCCTAATATAATATAAATTGATTTGATAACCCTGAAAAAAATTCAAAAAGATTCACCGAAAATAACAATTTTATTAAACAAAAAACTGAAATTACAAAGAAATAACATACAACAATAACCAAATAAAAATTGAAATAATAATAAAAGCTGAAAAAATTTAAAAAAATTAAAAATATTATTAACAAAAATAAAAGAATGAAAATTAAAAGATTTCAAACCAAGTTATGCCACAACGTTTCGATTGTTAGTATCCACAATCGTCTTCGGGTCGATTTATATTATATTAGACAATGGAAGTCCGAACTGATGAAATACTGGTTTAACAAATATGCAATTCAATCCATTAGCTTACGAGAATATAGATCTTGTTCGTGATATTCATGAGAGCTCTATTCAGAATGTGCAAGAGAAGTTTTCATTGAAAATATCAATCAGAAATTTGATTCAACTATTGTAAATTTTTTTATCGAATAATGGATGTCTTCGTTCTGAATACATTTTTGCACTGTTTCTGATACTTTCTTTGATGTTCGACAGTGAACTAAAAATCAGGAGAGATTAATTTTTGGCTTTCTACTTCTTCATCTTGATACAAAAAAATGTGGGAATCTTCCAAGGAGGAAGCAATCGATTTCAGAAAGGTAACTCTAAACTAGATCATTCAAAGAAGTAACTTTCAGACACTAACTGGATGGAGGAAAAAGTCCACTCAAAACAGATACTTTCATATAAACATTGAATTACACGAAAAAAAAAAATACTTTTGAAACAAATATTACAACTTTATGTCACGAAATGAGTTCAATCTACTCAATGATAGAGTACTCGGTGACAAAATTCATTCGCTTATTTGATTGAATCCCAGCCATAGGATTCTCGTTTGAGTTGAAAGAGATATTTATTTAGGAGAGATTAAGTGTTGGGAGAGAAAGGTTTTGGCTCTCTACTTACCCATCGGATGTCTACCAGTAAGAATGACAGTGATCCATTCAAGTGAAATTTCGTCTCTTTCATTTACTATATTGTGTAGCAATCCTGTGAATGAGATCTGATTCAACCCCATAACGAATGTTCATAATTGTTTTTGTATAAGTCAGTGTTCATATGAAAGTATTTGTTTCGTAAGTATTTTTTCCTTCGTGTCATTCAATGTTTCTATGAAAGTAGCTGTTTTGAGAGGGTTTTTTTCTTCCAGTTTGTGCTTTAAAATTACTTTTTCGCATGATCTTTATATACCTTTTTGAAATTTGCTTTCTTCCTTTCTTTGGAAGTACCCACATTTCTATGTATCAATATGAAGAAGTAGAAAGCCAAAACTATTCTCTCCCAAATAACCTGAACAGTTTGCTACTTGAGTGATTCCAAATTCGTTGGCCAAAGTATCACAATTTCAAGACATAGTTCCCAAACGGTTCCATCTTATTGAGTAGAGTTAGTTGTTTAAATGGAAAGGGGTGTATTTTTTGGAGAGATTAATTCTTGAGAAAGGTTTCAGCTTTCTACTTCATGTGGTAATTTATCGAAGAAAGAAAGAAATGAAGCAATTAGATGTGTAGATCATAGAAAGAAATAACCTTCAGACACAAACCGGGAAAAACAGCTCATCGTAATAACTAATTTTATATAAACATTGAATGATACAAAAATACATTTTGCTATTCAGTTTGTACTACAAATAAAAATAATGGAATTAAATCACATATCATTCTCAGAATCACTACACAATGTAGTCACAAGTATTGAAAAATTTGTCATTTTGTAGTCATTTGCGAACTGATTACGAAAGTTTACTTCATTACTAGTGAAAATTTTAGTTTATGCTTATTATTCCGATCTGTTGTTAACTTTGTTGATTTTATTCGGTTTTTTTCTCTAATAGTCTTATTGTATCATTTGTCTGCTTTGATTAGGTATCCTTCGATGTATCATCTGAGATCGAGTCGCATCTAGTTTCTCTTGAATTCATTATATTTTATAACACCAATGTCAAGTCAAATAAAAAACGTTTATTGATCTTTCATGAAATAATTACAAAATATTGTGAAGTGTGTTTTGTGTGGGGCCCTGCTATAGGCTTATGCCTCTTCAGGGTTCAAATGGTTTATTACATCAACCTTTATATAGCACCCCTGTAGGTAATAATACAGGTACTTGGCTTGATTGAGTACCTGAATTTACAATTTACAATGCGAATTTGCTAATTTGAAAACGAAAACCGGTGAGTGAACTAAATCGATTTGAGCATTTACAGGTTGCACCCGCAATTGAGTTTGTAACCCTTCCTTGCATAGTACAAAATTCCTGTATTGTTTAGATTCGGAAACTTATCGTTGCATGCCCAGGAATGGTTTGAAAACGTCTAATCATTTTTTTTCTAATTTGAAGGACCTTTCATAATCAGCATACCGTTTTTGTAAATTTCGACAACATTGCCCCACATAAACACTATTACACTCCGGACACTTAAGCTTATAAACTCAAGATTTCTCCAACTTGTCCACCTTTTCTTTGGCATTGAAAAGGAAATCAGATAACCTGGCATGTGGTCTGAATGCCACATTGTTTTTTCTGAAGAAACCGGCAATTATCTCTGTTCTTTTTTCTGAATATGTTAGAGTTGACCATTCCTTGATTTCTGGTTGTTTGACCTGAGGGATAGTATCTGCGTTGAAACCAATATTATGACCTATCTGTGTAATTATATCAATTTCCCTAGCTAGATGGTTAGCAGACAATATTCTCGCCTGTTTCAGAGGTATACTACACGACAGCTGAACCAATTTTTGACATTCATGAATAATCTCAATAGCAACATTCAGTTCCCACTCGAAACAGAGATAGAGAAACAGATAAATTTCTTAGACCTAACCACACAATCAAAATAAATTTGAGTTCAATGTTTTCAGAAAACCTAGCTATACAGACATCACCATCACAAGATATTCTTTCCATCCAGACAGACAGAATCGTTGTAAATTCACAAGGTTGCGGATGCAACCTTTTAAATGATCAAATCAATTTAGTTCACTCACTGGTTTTCAAATTAGCCTTGTAAATTGTAAATTCAGGTACTGAATCAAGACAAGTACCTGTATTATTACCTACAGGTATGCTATATAAAGGTTCATATGATCATTTTTAAAACATAAAAAGTATATTTTGGAAACAAATCTTTCTCAAAACACCTTCTTTTTCATTTAGTTACCAGAAATTTATTTATTTCTTCAAAATAATTTTGAAAAATGAACCACATATTTCCTAAATGAAATCATACATTGGAGACTCTTTTATCTTGAATTTTTTTTATTAATATTAACGTGTCTCGGCATCTAATGGCCTTTGACACGGGATCTGTGATACATTTACGTAATAATACAAAACAAAACAAAAAAATCACATCAAATGAATCAGTGGACAGTCTTTGAGGAATTGTATCACGACACTGAGGGGGTTAGGTAGGCAGTGAATGTCTTTGAGAGTTCCACTGAGTTTGTGTTTGCGGCGAGATGGGCTGTAGTGTATGCAATTAAAAGTATGTGCTCAATTGTGAGTCTTGCATTACCACAGAATTCACAAGTAGGGGGATTTTGTGAAGACATCAGGTAACCATGGGTGAGTCGGGAGTGGCCTATTCTGAGTCTTCTTATAACACTTTTGTCCTTTCTTTTCATTGGGGGCAGATCCAGCGCAGAAACTGTGGGTTGGATTGTATGTAGTTTGGTGGTACATGTGTTCCATTGTGTTTGCCATGTTTGTATCATCATTTGTCGAGCTGCTGATTTTAAGTCTTGATGGAGTTGGATTTGCTCCTCTGGCAATTCGCAGGAACAAGCTTGTTTAGCTGCTTGGTCTGCACGTTCGTTGCCCGTAATTCCTACATGAGAAGGGATCCAGATGATATTCGCAAGGACACCTCTGATGTGGTGGTGGCAGGTGTCGAGGATATCTTGAACCAAAAGATGATGTGAGTAACTATTTTTGATAGAGAATATTGATGCAAGGGAGTCTGTGCATATGGCAAGTTTACTTGTATTGGAGACCTCAACACTTGTAATATTCCATATAATTCAGCTGTGTGTATACTACAGAAATTGGGAAGTTTGTATGTTGCTATTATTGCATCGAGTGTAGTAACAGCACATCCGGTAGGAACCATTAACTTCTTTGGATGCGTCAGTATAAATGATTTTATCGAATTGCTGGTTATTTATCAGTTCTCTGAATCTTTGTATGAAGACTATGTTAGGCGTATCGTGCTTATTGTAGTTATTCAGGCATATGTTCAAAATTGTCGGTTTTTTGATCCATGGCGGAGTTTTAGAAAGTTCTATAAGAGTTGTAGCTTTGAGTTTGGTGTTTCTTGAAATATGGTATAAGAATTGTGGAGGTGAAATCGACGTTCTGGATCTGTTTTGGGGAGCTGGTAGTATAGAATCAAATAATTCAAATACCAGGTTTTGTGGGTAAGCAGATACCCTGGAGAAAAAGGATAATAGATGGTATTTTCGTCTTATAAAGAGAGGTGGTTCAGAGGATTCAATATGAATGCTTTCCATCGGACTGGATCTGAAGACACCCAGGCATATTCGTAGTGCTGTGGTTTAGTTTGTGTCAAGGTATTCGAGGTATGTTTTGCGGGCATTCCGTAATCCAGTTTGGAGCGGACTAATGATCTGTAAGTCCGTATTAGTATTCCTTCTTCTGCTCCCCATTGGTGATGAGATAATGATTTCAAAATGTTGATACGATTCAGACAGTTAGCTTTTGTCTCCTGAATATGTTGTCTTCATGTGAGTCTTCTATCAAAGATAACTCCCAAGAATCGAGCCTTGTGGGACTCCGTTTTCTGAAAAATGCAGTGTAGATGACAGTCCATTTGTAACAACTTTAAAAGATCTATTGGTTAAGAAGTTTTGTAGAAAGGAGGAAATGTTTCCAGTTTCCAAAGTTCATGAGTTTTCGGAAATGGTAGTTTTGCGAATCGTGTCGATGGTGCTGACTAACGGCAATTAGGTCTTTTTTACTTTCAAAAGCTTCTGAGATGTCTGTATGTAAAGTAACCAAGTTATCTAATGTGCATCTGTTTGATCGAAAACCTGCCTGTTCTGAAGTTAAGGGGTTGTGCAATTCTAAGTATTCTAAGTACTAAGTGTAGAGAAATTGGTCTGAAGGAATTGGAAAGATTGGTATTTGAGTTGTTCTTTTTATCGGTATTATGGTTGCTTCTCTCCATAGAGCCGGAAATTGTTGGCTGCACCAGATTTTGTTGCAAAGTTCGAGCAGTTTCATTTTAGTTTCTGACAGTAATAATTTTAGGAAGATCTTTGGTATGTCATCTGGTCCTGAAGCTGTGTCCTTTATTGTAGATAGGACAGTTTAATTCGGAAAGAGTGAAGGGAAGATTGAGAGAGTGACAAATGTAGGAAGTTTGTTTAGGATGTGGATTGTTTGTTGAGTTTGGAGGTTCGGGATTGGATTTTGTTTTGAAAATGTTGGGCAAGGATGTTGGCAATTTGTTGGTCATTGGTGGTGACTTCTTCCTCGTAGGTTAGGCCATGAACTTTATAATTGGTGTTTCTCCCTCTTATCTGTCGTATCTATGTCTGATGGGGAAAGGACATAAACTTGTCACCTGAAACCTAATATATGGGAGTATTCGTCGCCTGGAATACCAAACCGAGGCTCTCAATAGCATTTTCAGCAAGTTCGTGGGGTTATAGGGAGATATGTTCGAGATGATTATTCGTTTTGCTGGAGAAACGAGTTGGCAAATGTTCATAGCAATATTTACGACTGGGTGCATCATAAGATTAGAATTGGCAAGATAGATGCAGGTTCTATTATTCGAAATCCTTCATGCGAACGTAATATTTTTGGGGCCTGCAATATCGCATATTTCTTCAACATAGTCAAATAACTTCAGGTTATCATCAGCGTGCACCACTACGGCTTGCTCCTTTTTTGAGAAAGATGGTTTGGGTGCTGTTTTGACGGCTGATACGTAACTGGTGCTAGGAACTGGATTGTTGGTGTTCATGTTGTGCAACAATTTGGTTTCTGTGAGTTGAGGTAAAACTATTTTGTTTATTGTTGCTCTTGTATTCAAAGGCAATTTGTTTGGTTGACTTAGTTACATTCACTTATTCGGTGTGCAGCAATATATCCATACAGGAATACTGCCAACGCCTCTGGTAATGAGGGGTAGGCAAAAAAGAGAAAGCCAAGGTTTATCAGTTCTCTTTAGATGACTGGCTGTTATCAGTTCGACTTCGGCAAAAAACTCGTTTCAAAAGTACATAAAAATATTCAAGACATACGTCGGTTTTTGTGACACTGATTAACTATGAATACAACGTGGTAATTAATAAGATAAATGCGGAGCGAAACGTAAACGATGTTGACTCGTTTAGGCACTCGAGAAAACTCTCTTGAAATTTTTGGGTCAGTCAAGGATGAATATTTTCAAAGGTGGTTTCATACGTTTTTTTTTTAATGACATCAAACTGACAAGTGATATTATGAACATATTATCAACTATTCATTGACGAAAAATCAGTAGAAGAAGAAGTCATCTGAATTAGGCAATTTTCTCGGTAATCTGTTTTCAGTCTTGCACGATTGGTTATGGAGAGAACGCCACATTTCATGCTAGGTGGGGACGGAGCTAAAAGATTTGCAAGAGAGCAAGGTATACCTACTCTACCGGCCGGAAGTTTAGTTACAAAAAAAGCACAATTGGCATTGGATTTTTTCAAAAAACGTATACGTAACAAAATTGACGTAGAACGTAATGGCACTGTAAGTTAAAAACATCTTTCCCAATAATTTATGCGATCAGAGTTCTTCATTCAAATCATCTTAGATGATGATGATGTATCTAATGTTCGATGATTTTCAAACTTGTTTTTATATTATGTCAGTGGAATCGATTTTAAAGTTATTTACTTCGATCTAAAAACAAACGGTTCTCCCAATCACCAGAACTTTATTTCTCTTCTTGTCGCGCGTTTCACCAACCAATTTGGCATCGTCGAGAGACGAAGAAAACTGAAGATCTCATCTCTGAAGACGCCAACTTGGTGGAAGGCGCGTCGAGAAGGGTATTGAAGTTTTGGTGATTGGGAAACATGCTTGTTGAAATGTGTTGAAATGACTTTCAGTCCTTCAATTGTTTCTGATAAATAAACATTCACTATTGGTGTTTGTCGGCTATCATTCATAATTCTTCGGAACATCTAATGACTCAGTTAAGCCTTGTAATTTGATTTCAATGGTTTTATGATTTGCCGGATATTCGGGTATTGTTTTTGGGCTCTCTGACTAGTTTCGTCAGTTACCCCACATAATGTAAAAGTAGTAACACGACTTTTTAAGAATTTCGACCAGATGAATAAAAAAAATATATTTACGAATATTCCGTCTTCCGTTTCAACCTACACAAAATCTACGTTATATATCACAACTTTACAGTAAGCAGGCATTAATGAACTTCAAAAGCTCTAGGAAGCTTGGATCAATATCAACACTTTCCAGAAACATTTTCTTCTTGATACCACGCCAAGACAACCATCTAATAACTCGACTGAAAACAAATAAGTGTCGTGTTATTCTAATACAAGACACAAAAAATAAAATCAGAGCTAATGAGAGATATGCATGACATAAACATATCTTAAAGATGGGCATCTATCAAGACTGTTTTAACAAACTCACCCAGAGACACTATGATATATCATATAACTACCTTCGCCCAAAATCAAGTTCTTCGTGTGAGGCCGAAAATCGAAAAGAAAACTATACCTGAAAATTCAAGTAGTTCACTTGAATTTTACAGTATATTAAAATAAAGTTTACAAGACAGATTTACATATTAAATCAATAACAGTGCTATCAATTCTACTTCTTAGATTTGTAACAGATACTTTTCTGAATTCATGTAACAAAATGCCGAACTGTCATTATCGTATGTAAGGAATTTCGAACACCTGATTGGACATCATCAAAAATATGAAACTGAGCGAAGCCGAAATCGTAACACGTCGCAGATCTAGGAGATGTAAGAAATGGACTAGAATGATGTGTGATTAACCCTTACAACGTTCATTCTCGCATTCAGTTTGCTATTGAAATTGATAACAGATCTTCTCTTCCTAGATCTACTCAACTAGGAACAGATAGTCTTAGAAAAAAGTCCTTGAACTATATTTTTGATGATTATATGGTCCAATTTACTTTTATGCTTGTCAGCGAAATTGATTTCAGCTCAATTCAATCATCAGTATTTGACCAACTTTTTTTTGAAAACTGTGTTGAGTTAAGCTAATACCAAACCCAGATTCTTTTGAAATTCATATCAGTTCTTTGCAGAATCCTGGTGATGTGGGAACTGTGGGAGCAGTAGCTTTGGACAACAAAGGAAACATTGCAGCAGCTACGTCGACTGGAGGTCTCACTGGAAAAATGGTTGGTAGATGTAGCGATTCATCCATAATTGGCAGCGGAACCTATGCTGATAATAATATTGGTGCAGTATCATCTACTGGTGTGTATGGTAATCAACCATGAAATTTGAATTTAATGAAAATTAAATAATCAGCACAACAAATTTTTTTTCTGAGTCTGAGATTGAATGAAATATTTTTCTGACACAATTTTGTGAAATTTTATGATTTTCTCCGAATGTCAAACACTGTCGAAGTAGTAAGCTTTGTAATTGAAGTTGATGTTTGGCTTCATTTTGAATACACTTTTTTCCATTTATGAGAACATAATTGACTGGCGAATTCACTGTACGTACTTATGATGCACTGTTTGGAACCTTTGGTCTAGTAACTAATATTACTGGAGTTTTTTCCCAACACCAAATTGTTATTTTTACCACCTCGACACGTGTTTCGATAACCAAGTGATCATCTTCAAAGAGGAAAATTAAAACTTTTAATCTTTTAATCTTCCTCTTTGAAGAAGATCACTTGGAAATCGAAACACGTGTCCTGGTGTTAAAAATAACGATTTGGTGTTGGGAAAAAACTCCAGTAATATGCACTGTACGTAGGCAAAAAATGATCGAGAGCCTTTTTCGAACATTCCATTAGAGTCTGTTAATTTGAAGGCAGGCCACCTAGAAACATCGAAGAACACCTTCGATGTTTCTTAAGATCGCCAAACAACGGTGTGATGTTTCACTACATCAAAACTGGTGTAGTAAAACAACTGCTTATCAGTAAAATTTGAAGTACATCCATATATTTCTCAATATAAATATTTATGATCCAAAAGTTTGATTTCAGTATAGCTTCAAAAATGCAAACAAGATGGGAATTTTTGTAATCCTTCCATTGATTTCAGTTTTCAGCCACTGTGGTATATAGATTTTCTAATAAAGGCAAATTCCAAGAAGAAGGGAAAACGAAATTTAGGACCTAAAAGCAGATAATTTGAAAGTAGTTCCGCTAGACTTAAAAAAATATCACCCAAGCTTTTCAACAATAAAAAAAAAATCAAAACACTTTCACCAATTTTTGATAAGATAATGGTAAATTGGTTTATAATTTCGATTTTCCAAATTTGTGTATTTCATTTTTCAATCTCCGACTAGAATCTATAACATTTTTCAATGAATGATACACAAAAAAAACTTTTTTCAAAAATTTACGCTTTGTAAAAAATATGAAAATAATATTTGAGTTTTGATCGAATTCTCTGAGTAGGTAATAGGCATAATATGTAAAGCAGTAATGAAACAAATGAAATGTTTCAATTGAATGATATTTCTGAAAGAATGTTCCATTTTATGTTTCAAGGGCATGGAGAATCAATTGCCAAATTCTGCTTAGCGCATTCGATAATAAAACAAATGGAATATGGAAAAAAAGTCCAAATTGCTACCGAACAATCACTGAAAAAATTGACCCAGAGACTGAACAGAACTGCGGGTAGGTATATCTGTCTTATTTTTAATACGCTTATCATTAACCAAGCTGAAATCATCAAGTGTGGAAAAAGTCCAATGTTTTTTATAATGCTCACTCTCGATTAACGAATATGTGGAATCAATAAATCAATTTCACCTTTCGGAAATATTAGTGGTACTGGATGGGACGTGTGAATTATTCTGATTTTAGGGTTTCAACGACGGTTCATTGCAAGAAAGCTAGGGTTTCAACTAGATTTTGGTCAGCTGGTAAAGACCTTGTAGAAAGCGAATTCGTATTTGGGTATTGATATCCAAGCTTGGATTTACAACGGACTGCTTTTGGGAGCCTCGCTTATCTTTGCTATTTGTGCTTTGATTTTCTGTTAATTCCTAGGATAATATATTCATAGGATGACGTTTCTTATCCTTCATATTGTAACATTTTCAGATTCTAAATGTGATTTCAGTCAGATTTTGTTGTCTTATCTCACGTTATCATATGAATAGAGTTAATTTTTTATATGTAAGTATGTTTTCATAAGAAAACTATAATTGTATGCTCTAAAATAATCATCAGATTTTTATTAAAGAAGGTTGAAGATGATCTTTCTCAATAGATGACTATACTATGATAACTTCTGATACAGGGTGTTCAACGAATGAGGTTGGAAATGAAATTGTGATACCTGGTGAAAAACACATTTTCATTAACGTAACTTTTATTTTAACTTTCCCAAGAAACATAAGCTGTTTATAATAGGGAACTTCAAACCAAAAATGTATTTAGAAATGTACTGTAACGGACATTATCGTTTATTGAAGCTGGGTAGACCTGGTCCATGGCTTGTTTTCGTAGTTTTTGAAAAGGATGGATTCGATAATATCTACTTCGTACCGGCTGTTGACAGCGATTTGTTTGATTAAACTAAGCTCTCTCTGAAAATTACTTTCCGACAGTGGAATATTCAATAGTCTATGAATCATACTATTGAATGCAGCTATTTTATGCTGGAAGGGATGTGTGGAAGAATTATGTGACAATGTCTGTATGAGATGGTTTGTGGAAAATTGTAAAATCATGTTTATTAAATTTTCGTATCATTCAAGTCAGTAATGTTTATTGAATTATTCACCTCCATTTCAGAGATGAATTTTATTGATGAGTGGATGGAATTGACATATTCGACAAATATGCCGAATTGCCTAGCTGTATCAGTAAAACAGACTACGTATCTGCACGTATCTACGTATCTGCAGTACAAGAATCTGTTAGTCAACTGATTATTATGGATTTCATTCTCTAGATTATCCATGAAAATTTCAGCCAGCAAATGACTCAACAGGTATTCCATTATTAATCCTTCGCTGCATCGACCCGTTATTGGATTATATTATATTAGATTTTTTATTGGTCAAATTATTGGACCTTAGTGCTATGACAAGTCAATATTATATACTATAAATGTAAAATGAACCCAATATTACCGTAAAGCAATGATTATTTGATAAAAATTGCATATAATACGAGCACAAAATAACGTAAATAAATATATAAATGTAGAAACAGAGATGCATAGAGACTGTCCTACATTGACGAAAGGCATTCAGTAAAGTTGAAGTCAGACGCATCATAGTGAGCATTCTTTGAGAGATGTTTTTTCAGTTTTTTTTCGAAATTAGCGGGAGTTGCATTTTTCATTGATTGGGACAGTGAGTTGTTCAATGAGTTACATCTCCTTGTTACTTCTAGTCTTTGGTTTGGTGCTCTTACATTAATATACGAATGGTGGTTTCTATTTGTAAGAAACTTATGTAAATTTTCAAATTGCAGTCTATTACACATGATGGCAGAGCTATTATATTGGACTTTATAAACCGATACTTGCAGCTCTCCATTTGAACTATTCCAGCTAAAGCTCTGATTGCTCATTTTTGAATTGTAAATATTCTCGAAATATGGATAGATGTGCCCCAGTCTATCAATCCATAAGTTGAAGAACTATGAAACAATGCATGATAAGCGGTATGGCAGCTCCATTACCGACTTTATTTTTTATCTGTCTGATCACATATAGACGTTGCATGATAGATTTTTTGCCAGTTTGTCAGAACTCTTTCATTTTGAGAACTGAGGAATAAACTTCCTGGGAACATTTTTCTAAATGGATTTAATCTACAGCGATTCAAATCTAATGTGAATCGCTACTTTTGCAAAGACACCGCTCTTAGAGCGCCTTAAGGATTTTCCTATAGTGCTTGTGTTTTGTTATTGAAAAAACATACTTGATGTGATGGGATCATCACTCACTGCTGAAACCAATAATCAAATCTGAATATTTGCTCCCGTGCAGGCAGGCTTCAGTTTTGCATCACCATAATTGGGCCGACAAATACTTATGTTTCATCGTTGCTGTTTTTTTACTACAATCAACTTCGCATAATACAAACAAGTAATTTTCTAGTAATCCGTTTACCGATTTGATGTTCAATTTTCCATTGTATTCCTATCTCGATTTGCTCAATCCAAATTTCCTGGTATGCTTTGCACTGGCTCACTGAATATTCATTCCTAAATGTGAACGAATGTTACAATGAGATAAGTAAACAATATATATTTGAATGAATGAATATTTCCCTTGAATTCCATGGTCGGATTATGAAATTTATAGGTATGTCACCCATTTCGTGATCCACCTGATTAGCATTTAAAAATATTTCCAATACATACAGGGTTTTCTACTTGAAAGAAATAAAGAAACCTATTGCCAATATAAGTCTAAGTGCTACTGTGTTAGGACTATTTTGCCCTGTCATTGGTGTCCACAATTTTACATAAATAGTTAAATGGTTTTTTGGGAAAGAAAGTTTTTGGCTTTCTACTAAGCCAAAAACTTTCTTTCCCAAAAAAAATAGTCACTCCTGAAAATATAACTATTTCAGTTTAAAGTTGAATGGTGTATCTGGTGTACCATATATTTTTTTATGTTTTAGGAGCTATCACTTTATCTAAAAATGGGGAGCCAGCAATTTTTTTCAACACCAAGAGAATGGCTTGGGCTTTTCAGCAAGGAAACAAAATCAATTTTGGAATTGATCCCAACCAGAATGAGACTGTGGATGCCCAGGTGTGATTCATATCAAGAAAATTTATATTGAAATATAATGAATATTTCCCATTATGTAATATATATTTAACATTCAGTCATAATATTTATAGAAAAAATTACTGTAATGATTGCATATCAAGAATTATGATTTGTGATCACTTATTTCTTAACACCAGCTACCATTTTCCAAACTTTTCCTGAAATTCCACTTGAGTTGTTGCTCTCTATAGCCAGTATTATCAACATTTTGATCATAATTTTTCGAAACAATGGCAGGTTTTTCACCTTTATAGTTTCTCTTTCTTTCAGTTCTTCTGGAAATGTCATCTCCATTACCCACAGAGTGTAGGCTCCGTGTCTTATGGAGAGATAACCTCAATGGTTTTTTAGGAGGAATGGGTCTTGGTTTCATATCATGAACACTAGGATGATAAAGAATTCTTGAGTCACTTGTAGGCTCTGAAGTATAGTCAGTTCGATGGTTATTGGTAGTTGTAGTGGAATTGCAATCACTATCGAAATCTAAGGATTTGACGCTTCTAGAATCTGGAATCCTCTTATACAGTTTCACGTTATCTCTAACAAATTCTGATGTGTCCAAATCTTCAGCACTCTTTGATTCGTACTTGGGTCCAATGTGAACCTCCGATCGAAAATCTAATACTGACGTGGACTTTCTAGCATTGTAATGCCTCAAAACATCTGCGTTATATTTCTCAGAAGCAGTTATACATTTTTGGCGATGTTTTTCATACAACGTTGTATCCCTACTTCTCGTAAGCTCATGAACAATTTTTGTAGCTTTTTTAAAACTTTGATCCATTATATCATTGGAATATTCTTTTTTAGAATTTGGTTTCGTGAAATCTGCGGGATTCCTGTGACAGTCGTAGTTTAGTTTATTCAATCTTTTGAATTGTTCAACACCGGAATTGCTTTCGGAGTTGTAGTCTTTCTCTCTGTAATGATGATGATGATGATGATTATGTGTTCTATACGTTATTTTATCATTCAACTGTGTATTGCTGAGAGGAAGCTTTACTACACTTTTGGAACTGATATGCTTGTATCTATCGTGGTGTCCTTTCTGACAAATAACTTCTCCTTTGACAGACGATATATGAGTATTTGACACATTTGATAAACTACTTCTTGATCTTATTGGATAAGCAACTAGTTCTTTGGGTTCCAAACCATTAACTGCTTTCGCCAGATTGTTTTTTTGACATGCACGAACATCAGAAATTGGACTGGATGAATTAGAAGGAGAGTGTGTTCTTATGTTTATGTTGGTGACATTTTGGTTGGACTTCAAGATCACTGGAGTAGGGGAGTGTATTCTTGGGTCTGACTCCATTGGTTTACGGTTTAGTAATTCTGAGACCTGTGAACACAAAATATGTATTTGAAAAATTATTAAGGTGGGGGGTGAATATAAATATGAATTAGCCTTCGTGAAATTTCAAAAATATCTAATATTGTATTGTTGTTGGATATTTTTTGAAAAGATCACATTCATAATATTTAGAGGGGTACACATTATATTCAGTAAATAATCATTAGGACAGACAAAAAATATGGAAAGTCATTAGGAAATCTGAAACGCTGATACTTATTTCTGAATATCTTTTTGAAATCCGTTTTTCCGTCAACCAGCTGTCGTACCCCTACGAACGACAACACTCGGAAGTCGAAACTTATGCGAGCTAAGGATTAACGAGATCTTCCCGTTTAACGTGTGATTCCTAACACGGGTTAGACGATAGCAAGTGAAAATCTATCGCTTGAACAACCGACCAACACGGCAGTCAATTCAAGTGAGTGAGCACCCACGTCGAACCGCCGGGCTTCCGACCTATCGCCGTTGCTAAGATAATACAAATTTTGGAAACTACAAATGAGTCATAAGGTATATGAAATTCAAGCATCATATACAGGGTGATGATATGAAAACTTTTCATTTCCGATATTTTGTGAAACAAATGAGATATATACCGGGTGACAAAGAAATAATTGTACACGACGCTATGAGGAAAGGAATTAGAAATTCGAAATTTGGATATAGTTCGCCAAAGCCGTTATTTTCAATGATGAAATACTTGAAAATCTGTACAAGGTTAACCGGAAATGAACTCAACAGAAGAATGTTAAAAAAAACTTTTATATTTTTTTGCCAAAAACAGAATTTAAACAGTTTTTTTTCAACAGATTGTCAAACAACTCGAACCATAACGGGTATCACTTGTGGTTTTTTCAAATCTATATAAATAAGGGAATTGAAAATAACACATTAATTGTTTATCGATGGATAAACAAAGTTATTAGTTTCAATAAATGTTTTTTTGAATACCCAAACTCACTGTAGGTATGAAACGAATTGAATGCTCATAAAATATGTTGTTTGCGATCTGTTTGCCATACAAAATTGAGTGGACCTGGTAAAGTATTATAAACTGTCCCATACAATCTGTGGCAAATCATAACTGAATCAAAAAATTAGGTTTGAGCAATCTGTTAGCGTTTTGCATTTTTCATGAGAATTTATTACTTTTTACTATCAGGAATCAGTATAATTGTAGGTATGGCTCACTTTTCTGATGGAATATTTTATATTGAACATTCTTGTCACTCATCAAAATTAATTTCGACTGGTCTATATTAAATAATTTCAGACATCTATTCACAAGTGAAGTTATAAATATGCTACTGCCGATAAATAATAAGTAAACTCAATGATTTTTTTCTTCCTTTTGATAATTTTACTTTTGAGCCTGTTCTGAAAGATGTTATTTCGTAAAAATCCTCTATTTTGACGGCAAATTATTTAATATCAAAGCATATATAAAACCCGTCCTAACATTTTCGTAAGAAATGGTTTCAATACAATCTGACATTTTCAACTTTCCCATATTTTGTAAATACCTACCTTTTAATAAAACCCTCTTAAACCAAGTATCAAAAATATGTAACGTCAATGAAGAATTATCTTCATTATTGACAGAGTTATTGTGACAATGAATTTTTAACCTACCAATTCAAATATATAATTATATGTTAATGGTTATGTTTATTTTGTGTTACTGTGTAGATCTAATAGAATCAATATTCCATCAAGTCATTGAGCGTAGGCAAAAATTTTACTACATGAATATTGAGGTGAACAAATGTCATTACATTTATGAACAGTAGTTTGTCATACATATACGGTAGTTTATTCCACAAATTCATAAACAAATTTCAAAAGTCAGGAGGACATTTGAAATATGATAATATTCCAAAAAGAATTATGTGGGATGTTCAATTACATGCATTTTCCAAAGTTAAAAAACAATATTAGATTAATCAATCTGGAATAGTAACAATCTTTTTTGTAGACATTTCATTATTATCTTCAATATTATTAGTGTGCGATAGTTACCTGTTCTTCGAGATAGGATATTCTGTGAGTCAATCTAATGTTATCTGATCGGAGTTCCTCCTTTACTCGCTGAGATTCTTCATCCCTCTCTTTGATAATTTTCACTTTCGCCAGAAGCGCGTTCATGTCTTCCGAAGTTTCATTAAAAATTGCAGAAGCTTCGTTTAAAGGAATTTTTCTTGAAACTACAATTTGCGCAGGATCTGGAGCAGCCGCTAAAAGTCTGTTGAGGTCATCGCGAGTTTTGTTCAAGACTATTTTTCCGTTTATTTCAATCAACCTGAAAACAATTTCGTTTTATTTATGAATCTCTAGCGATTCAAATCTACCGTTCAAAGAGCGCTTTAAGGATTTTCCTGTAGAACTTGTATTTTGTCCTTAAAAAAATAATACAAAATATGAAAAAAACTAATTAAAAAAGTTTTGTATGATTTTCACTAAAAAAGGTTTTACAAAAACCGCAACACTTGTTTCGCTATACAATAGCTTTCTCAAGCATAAACTGAAAGTTACTTCTAAATTATAACCTAACCTATTACCTACTCGTCTGCCTAATGAATGAATCTACCTGAAAATGTCAGGTATGAATTCATCAACTATATCAATACATTTTTCAAAAGTATGCCTGTAAATATACCCATTTTTTACCTGCAAATGAACAGATTCAATGAAGGAGAATTATTCAATTCAGTTTGATCGTTCATAAGATATTGAGAGTTTTCGAATTTGTTTATTTCCATACACTCCAACAGATTAAGTTACAAACCTTTCTTGTGGAAATGGAGGGGCTTGTATTCTTGGTTGAACTCATGTGTCTCTGAGATTAAATGAATGACATATGTGGACTTTATTTTTCCATTCTGGAAACTATATTTGTGTTCCTTTATGCAGGCTTTGAACACTTTTCCAGTTTGACCTATATAAAACATCGACCATGATTCACACGATAATTTATACACTCTTGATTTTTCTAAAACCGAACCTAAGTAGGTTGACCCACTACTGAGATTTCAGATTTTTTGCTAGAAAAGGTGTAAATACTGCTTTCAAAACCAACAACAACTCAGGCATGCACATCAAGAATAACAAAGATAAAAGTTTAGTTTTAGAAAAATCAGGAGTGTACAAATTATCGTGTGGGTCATGTCCGATGTTTCATATAGGTCGAACTGGAAGAGTGTTCAAAGCCCGCATAAAGGAACACAAATATAGTTTCCAAAATGGAAAAATAAATTCCACATATGCCACTCATTCAATCTCAGAGGGACATGAGTACAACCATGAATACAATCCCCTCCATTTCCAGAAGAAAGGTTTGAAACTCAACCTGTTGAAGAGTATGGAAATGAACAAATTCAAAAACTCCCAATATCTTATGAACGATCAAACTGAATTGAATGATTCGCCATTATTGAATCTGTTCATATGCAGGCAAAAATAGTTAGGTATATTTACAGGTATACTTTCGAAAAATTTATTGGTACAGTTAATAAATTCATACCTGACCTTTTCAGGCAGATGAGTAGGTAATAGATTAGAGTATAAAATGGTTGTAATTCAGAAGTAACTTTCAGGTTATGCTTGAGGAAGCTATTGTATAGCGAAACACGGGTCGTGGTTTTTGTAAAACCCTTTATAGTAAAAATCATACAATAAAATGTATGAATTAGTTTTTCAATATGGATTTTCATCAAGTATCGGCTAGTTCTATCCAAATACAAAATATAATTCCGATTAAATAGATTAAAATTAATCGAGATTAGGAATAAAAGTATAAGATTATCAACATTGGATTTAAAATAGTGCTACATCTACTTTTCAGTAGAATCACAATTGTGATCATGTTAACTTCTAATCTGAATAAACACTTTATGAAAATCCATAAAAATTTCTGAGAGGGAGTCCGAAACTGGTTTTAGTTGCGTATTTTGATATACATCATCGAATAGGCGAAGACAGTCGAATAATTTTTATTGAAGTGTCTGTGGAAAAGGTCCTATCTTCCTTTAATTTTACTGCTAGACAATAAAGCTTGATTGTGATGTTTGAGTTTAATATCAGGAGTGTGACTCCTTTTCATGGAATAAGTATAATCCAGCAGCTCCATGGTGTATCCAGGGACGGAGTTATATTTGAGAAATATTCGACTGGTTTAATTTCAGCTACATAGGGTGTTTCCCAATTGAGATGAAAAATATAAGGGCATATTCTGGAGGTAACGTATGTCCGTAAATGCATTGTATCCATCCCTCATCCGATTCTGGTGAAACTTGGTAATGTTATTTTCAGATATCATTATGCCTCAGTTAGATACAAATAATTGAGTCCAGTGGCGGCTCGTGATACATTATTGGCCAGAAAAACGTTTCTTGTAGCATTCAATTTTTTGTGTAGAGTGAAACATCAGAAAATAAAATATAAAATTTTTGCCGACCTCGTTTCGTTTTTGGCGTTTGGTTTGTGAAACTTCGAATGTTTCAAAAGTCAATCAATTATATTCACATATTTTACATTTCGGAATTTCTTTGATATTTTTGGGAGAGAAAGGTTTTGACTTTCTACTTCTCCGTTTTCACACAAAAAATGTGGAAAACTGTCAAAGGAAGAAAAAAAGCAATTAATTTCATGCATAGGGATTACTTTCAGATATAAACTGAAAGAAAAAGCCTTCTCGAAATAACTGCTTTCATAGAAATATTGAGTAACACTGAATAAATAGTACCATCGAAACTCCTTTCATATGAGCATCGATTTATTGAAAAAATTGTTTTTCCTCCAAAAATTAGTTATCCTGTTGAATTGAATGCTGCACAATATAGTATATGATAGATAACATTTCACTTGAATATTACTGGAGTTTTTTCCCAACACCAAATCGTTATTTTTAACACCTTGACACGTATTTCGATCACCAAGTGATCATCTTCAAAGAGGAAGATTAAAACTGAAAAAGATTAAAAAAGAAGATTTTAATCTTCCTCTTTAAAGATGATCACTTGGTGATCGAAACACGTGTCGAGGTGTTGAAAATAACGATTTGGTGTTGGGAAAAAACTCCAGTAATATTCATTACTACACCAAAGGTTCCAAACAGTGCATCATAAGAACATTTCACTTACATGGAACACTCATCTTCAGCAACGAGGAAGATTGAAAACAAAGCGCACCGAAGAAAACTGTAAGTTACAACAGATGTTTTCAATTTTGCAGACGGAGGCAGATTATAGCCTCCGAAACGTTGAGCTAAATATGTTTAAACATTTTTGGCTCTTCTTTTTATAGGCTTTGAACTTACGAGAGAAACTGAAAATTTTGCCATTTCTTCGCCTATATAAACCTCTCCATTACCTACATTTTGAATTGTTTTCAGATTATGGAAGGTAAAACTCTCCAAAAGGTTGCATGATACTATCTGCTATGCATTGAAAAGGCAACAACTGATTGTTTGCCAATTAGCAGGTCACATTTATTCACCCTTCATAAAATTTAATGTTACAAGAAACCTCATTTTTGCCAATAAAGTGCCCTGTGCCGCTACTCAATGTTTTGTATCTAAAGCCAAATAATATGGAATCTATATTGATGATGACCTAAGAGTTTTCTTCATAATTTTGGATACATTCGGGCAATCCATCAATAGTTATACGTAAAAGATTTTTTTGCCTATTTTGGATACATGCTGAACTCAAGCCGTCTTTCAAGAATTTGGCAAAACACCTATAAAACAGGTTAAAGAACCCAGCCTCTGGCACCTTCAATGCCAGAAGCTTTATTAGAACATGGGTTTTGACGGCCGGAGTTAGAATCGGAGAAACCAAAATCCGGGCTAGTAGGAGGCGGTATAACGCAATTGCTGAAACCAAACGTTTCAACCGCTACTGCGGCAGACATTTTCAGTGATGCATGTGTTTGCTGCGAGGAACAATGTAGTATCTTGAACTCCTAATAGCGAGTCAGTCGGGCCTCACAGCCCATATGTTGTTCTGTCTGATCAGAAGCTTTGTGTTTTTTAGTATTCGTTTAGTTATATGCCAATACATAATTTTTAGCTTCATAAATTATACAGTGAAAGTACTGAGTAGTGATTTTTATGGAAATGAACTGCGAATGAGAATGCAAATTTTTCAGAAAGTGAATGTGATCGCTGATCGTCTGATTGATGGTAGGTTGATTATTGATGATTGTAAAGATATTTCATTCACAAGTTATTACAAGAATGAACAAATATTGACGAAGCCGCTATGTTTGTTTTTTTCAATCATTCGCTGACGTCATCCCTCTCTCACACATATATACGCACGTTGATGTTCGTTCCACTTTCACACACGTCAACTATTAATATCAATAATGCCCTCTCGACATGCCACCATGTTTCATTTTTCTTTGTCAATAAATTCAATATCGACATCAGTAGGTATAGTATGAAATGATAAATACATTTCAGCTTATATCCGCTTTGATACTTCCTTAAATTCCTTACTACAAAGATAATCTGCAATTTTCGCGACGGAAATGAACGGCATCATGGGTTTTTGGAAAAATGAGTCTTTAAAAATATTCATTATTTTCCCTGCGGTTAGAGTGCCCAAAACGTCTATTTTGAAGCGTTATATTTTTTTCGAATTTGCGATTCTTCCTATAATATTTCACATTATGCGCCCGATATATTTTTTATAATCTGCAAAGAAAATCATTTGAAATGAGTACCCACATCGGCCTGTTGCAGTTAATATAACGGAAACGATTATTATTATCGAAGATGCACATAGTGCTCTTCTGACATGTTGCGCCATCTTTGTTTTTATCTTTGTTAAAACTCATTCATGTTCACAAATCATCACACGTTTTCTACCACGCCACCACCCCCACACCTATGACGTCAATCCCATCTTTTTTTAAGTTTTATCATCATTATTAATATTAATTAAAGAAGAAAGAAATATAAATAAGGAAATTATGAAACAACAAGAATTAATTGGCGCTCCGGGGCGACTTCATTGATTCCTCGAGTTCAGTTTCATGTAACACAATCACCCAACCAATATTTGTTCCCGCCATCCAGATTCGCTGACCGACGTTACTCATAGATTAGATTGAGTGTTCTACAAAGTTCCGTTCGGAGGTACGAAAGTTTATAAAATGAAGCACCATAAGAAAAACAATGGAATCTTGAGCCAGAAGCAGCATTATACATTCACTAATTGAATTACACAAAAAAATATTTTCGAAAGAAATACTTCTTTATGAATATCGAATTATAAAAAAAATACTTTAATCTATTCAGTTTGTAATTCAACCATTCGTTATGGAATTGAATCAGATATTCACAATATAGTAAATGAAAGAGGTAAAATTTCGGTTACACGAAACACTGTCTTCCTCACTAATGGACATCTGATGTTTCGCCGTAAGATACTTGCCTCATCATCCCTTCAGCACCAAATCTTTATAATATTATAAGAAAAAGCACTTTAGGTAACGAATGAGTTTAATCTCCTCATGTCATCGATGACGGTACCAAATGACATTCATTCGCTTATTTATAGAAAAATGTGGAAATCTTCCAAATGAAGGAAGGAAACAACCAATTCAAAAAAAAATTAACTATAGAAAGATGTATAGGTCAAAGAAAAAACTTTCAGACACAAACTCGAAGAGAAGCCCTCTCGAAACAGCTACTTTCATATAAATATTGAATTGGAAGACTCCCACATTTTTTTATAAAGAGGGAGAAGTAGAAAGCCAAAACCTTTCTTTCCCAAAAATATTTTCATATCTTGAATTCATAGACTAGAGGAAATATACCATATGAAACTCTAACTTAGTTTTTCATCTCTGCGGCTCTCCGACATTGAGAAGTTCAAAATTACACTGGCAATCCTTCCAACATTTGAATGCGGAGTCGAAATTTTTGAGAAACCAGTTTGTTTTATAAATTTCACAAAAAATGTTGACTGCATAAAAATATTCGTAGATTGCATTTCGTTTCTTACGCTCTGAATAATTTCCTTTATTGCAGTTTTAATTTAAAATACATAAATAACGAACCATCTGTTTCTGCAGTGAAAATGGCAACGTTGTTTTGAATCACATCATCGCATTATTCTCAAATGATTAGCTCAGAATTGTTCACAACATTCAGCTGAATATAGTCATGGCGAGTACCGGATACACGGATGGAAGTCCACGATTGCTACATTTATTATCGTTGTTTTAATTCTTTCCGGCTTTTGTTATACGTTGCTTAGTCAGATTCGGGGTCAAAACTATTCTAACATTGTTTACGTTCATTTGGGACGAGTGGAAGATTTTCAGTTAAATGACACTAGCCTCATAAAACTTTAATCAATCCTAAACTCAAGAAAACAATAATAGATAATAGTGAAGAACGAATCGAAATATGAATCCTGAAGATATGTTTGAATCATGTTTAACTAATTTTGTTATTTCACTTTTTTCTCAAAAATAATACATTGTCTCAGAGATATATTTCAATTATCTTTCCACACATTTGCGAGATTATGCGTATTCTGGTTTTCTTCTAGGAACTATCGTCTATTTGGGGGGAAGGTAAACACACCACGCTGTATCTGTAAGTGTAAACTAGATGTTAAAACAATACATTTTTCGAGTTGAGGCCACATGGCATCAGGCTAGTAAAAATATAACATCTTCCTAGAACTGAAGTACTGAGCAACTGATGTTTGGAGTACAAACTGAATAGACAAAAATGTTTTTTGTATAAATGAATTTTCATAAAAAAGAAATTATTTCGAAAGATTTGTTCTTTCGCGAATTTCAATGTTTATATGGAAGTAGTTGTTTCGGGAAGGCTTTTTCTTGCAGTTTTTGTCTGAAAGTTATCTCTTTGCAAGATCTACATACTTTTGTAAAGAGTTTATCTGGAAATTAATTGTTATCTTTCTTTCTTTGAAAGGATCCCATATTTGTTTCTGTATAAAGATGGAGGTAAAAAGTCAGAATTTTTCTTTCCCAAAAATCTTAAAAAAGTATTTTGATAACTGGCTAAAATCAATATATCTCTGCCAGTAATAGCTGTTACGATTTTTCATTAATACAAAAACATTTTGAAATCGTACAATTTTGCCAGGTTTTTGCATCCACTTTACAATAACAGAATATCAGTACGTAGTTGGAGTTACCTACCAAATTTACGTTAGCTCCTAGAATATTAGTTCTTGGATATCCATTCACTGATTGAACTAAACTCGACTTCATTCAAACTTTTGACTTTAATCGAAACTTCGACTTTACTCTCAGGATTTTGAATTCATTTTCACAACTCAAACCTCCAAATTTAAATTTCAGTCTTCAAATGTCGACTTCAATTTCGAAACTACAAATTTGAACTCCAAATTACAACTTCAAACACAAAATTTAGACTCTCATCTCGAAATTTAGACTTCATTCAAAATTTGAGTCGAAGTTTCGCCTTTCAACTCTAAATTCGAGATCAAAGTAAACATTTCGACTTAAATCTCGAATTACGGATTTCGATTCATAAACAAATGATTGAAAAGACACCCGTTTCATTGTACTTTCTGGATATGCGCCTATACTTGCAGTGAAAAACTGTATATAAATGATATTCTGTTTGTCCCATCGAAATTTTGACTTCAATTCGAGATTTAAGTCGAAGTTTCGTTTCCCAACTAGAAATTTCGAGATCAAAGTAAACATTTCGGCCGAAACACGAATTACGGATTTCAATTCATGAACAAATGATTGAAAAAACACTAATTTCATTACACTTTCTGGAAATGGGACTATGCTTTTCATGGAAGACTGAATAAAAATATACTGGGTGTCCCATGAAAAACAATTCACTTTGAAGTCGAAATTTCGAGATTAAATTCAAAATTTCGAGTTTCAAAGTCGAAATAAAAAAAATCAAAAGATTTTCTTTTCTAATAGTTGCTTCCCAAGTCTTATTGATTGAAACCTGATGACTTCGAAAGTTTTCAACATTATTATTTTCTGTATATGATTAATGTGATACTAAGAATGTGAACATGATCATGATTTCATGCCAAACTTCAAAGTTAACCGAAATGATTGTTTTGAAAAGAATATTAGTCACTTTTTTAGGCTATTCGTTTAATCGAGCTCATTACTCATGGCTAATCACGAAAGATTGATCAACTGTTATGTGTGAGGTTTTCACGACCTATTTTTTCATGATATTGGGTTATGTCACCTACCTATCACCTTTTCGTAGCTGTGATTCTTCTAAAGCCCATTCTACAAAGAGACCAGATAAAGAATCTTTCGGTCCCGCCCCAAATTTTGGGCACTTTGGGTCGTAGTCTATTTCAATGGCTTGAAGTAACACATAGTCTTCTCCTTCTGCCCAACTGAAACAAACAAAATCATTGAACAATTCCTGAAAATTACACCAGTATTCACGATCATCGGTAATTTCTGACAGATGGAAATACTTGTAGTTGCATTCCTAAGTCAGTTTCGATTACATGAAAGTCGGCATATTTAATGAAAGGGGGTTATGGGAGTAATAATTATTATGAGAAAATAATTATTTAAAAAAAAATTGAAATGGGTGGAACTCATAGAACTCAATATTTTAACCTAACCTAACCTAATCTTAGCCTAACCTACTCTAATCTAAAATTCAAACAGACCGGTTCAGTGGCAGAGCGTAGTTACAATGGTCTGTCTGGCTATGCACATGTGCGAGTACTTCTGGCGTCGAGAAATCCGCCACAATGAGTTGGATCTATTCTTAGAGTTCAAAGTTAATTCAAACTGAAGTTTACGTAAATGCCGAGCCTTGATAAAATGTATTTTTTCATTTTCTCGTCCTATTGATTTCCTGTCATCACCCCCTTTCGATTGACATACTACATCCCCTTGTTGGCGTGGTCCCAATAACTTGAGTTCTACCTAAATATTCTGAAATACCTCAATAATGATTTTCTCTTTACTGCACACAATAACAACCTCTTCTACGAAAATGGTCAGTTTTCAGAAAAAGAGAGAAATATCCGATACATAAAAATAGAAATGAACATTTAACTTGGATAGCTACTCATGATATTGACGGAAACGAAATATTTCAGTCCAAGTTTCCAGAGAGGTTTTTTTTTCGATACCTAGGCATCGAGAAAAAGAGAGATATAGGCAAATCTGCGTGCAAAATAATTGGTAGGTATATACAACTATTATGGCCACACGGGTAGCAAGGGTTTGTCCATTTAGGGGGACTTGGTCCCACTGTTATGGAACCTTGTAATGGACGAGTTACTATGACTTATAAATAAAATACTAAGCTATACTGCTGATGATTTACTCATTCTAGTTCACGGCAAATGTATTAATATCATGTTACAGGCCCTGAATATGTTGACAATATTGGCCTCGAAATAAAAACTCTAAGGCTAACCTGGAACCAACTATTGAGTAGAATAAAATTAAAGCCGGGGTAGCATTGATGCTGACTGAAAGTACATATGACTGGTGACTGAAACATGATAACTGCAACCAAACATTAAGTATTTGCATTAATTAATGATGGATGAACCCATGATGATATGTGTATGTTTAGATTGAAAGGGATATATTTTTAAGAGAAATCAGTTTTTGGAAAAGAAATGTTTTGCCTTTCTACTTCTTCATTTTCATACAAGAAACGAGGGAAACTTTCGGAAGAAGAAAGAAATCAATTATTTTCAACTCTTCACAAGGATGTGTGAAGAAGTTGTTTTATACATAACCTCGTTCAGTGCTCAAATATACATCAAATCAGGCAGATGCAAAAACTTGCTTGTAGATAAATAGAGCAATGAGAACCAAACAAGCAGCATTGAAGACAATCACAAATCTACCCCTTTTACGTTTTGTAATAACAGAAAAGGTAAGAAATTTCAGAATATGTGGAAAAACGGACATGTTCACCGACCACATGACATCAAATTACACTTCCGCCACAAACTTCACATGTGGAGTCACAAACAGTTAAGAGTGGATAACGAACGGTCATCTCCAGAGGAGAAATTTGCAATTCAGCTACCAACTCAGTTAATACACACCCTTCTCGCAAAGTAACGTAGTAACTCAATACGTAGGGACTTTTTCAGAGACTTCAACGAAATGAGCAAATCGATGTTAATAGTTGGTTCAAGCAGATTTCAGAACCTATACACACTACTTTCAACCTTGAAATTACCTCTACATACGTCACACGAAGTAGCCAAGGTGACTTTGAGGAGGTGTTTTGAGTTTGACCTTGAACGAACTACGTAACTCGAAGATTCAGTCAAGGTCTCTTTGAGGTGGTGTTTTGGGTTCAACTTTGAATGAAATTCATTCACCCTCAATATTTTCGACAAGGTGACTTCACCCACCACTTTTGACCTTGAAATAACCTTTACATACGTCACAAAAAGTAGTTAGTTTTCAGTTTGACCTTGAACGACTTTGATCTACGTCATACAACACAAGCAAGGTGACTTTGAGGTAGTGTTTTGGGTTTGACTTTGAATGACCTTCATTCACTTCCCATATTTTCAAAAAGAAGATTTCGACTTCGAATGAACTAGAGCCAGCTATGGGGCTTTCTTGAAGTTATAACCTGCACGACACATCGTAGCCAAGGTGACTTTAAGGGTGTGTTTTATGTCTGACCTTGAATGACCTCCAACAAGATAACTTTGGAGTTGTGGTTTCAGACATCCAGCTTGTGGTAAAGGAGTACCCCCCTCTCCTTCAACCAAGTTCTATAAACGTTCGGAGGATCACCATTTCACATTCACTTTGAATAAACTAACGTACTCGAATATATGAGTGAAGGTTGTGCTGCAAAGTGACAATTACATCAGGAGTATACACAGCAATCCAGGTGAACATATTTTATATTTTCATACCATAATTCCACTATATTCGAAATTATTCATTTGAAATGTAATATCAGAAAGATCAATTCTGCAATAATTCAACAAACTGAGGCTATGGAGCAGAAGCCTTTAATATCTTTGACTATCGATAAAGGTTATGAAATTGGGAAGATGTCGATGCTATCCACGCGATATGGTAAATCCATTCATGTAGTTTTGTTGGACGAGGAAAATAATACTTCTTTCAAATTATGGCTTCCCAAACGTGTCACAAAACATTTCACGAAAGAAATGATTCATGAAGTGAATTCATCCGAAGCCAAATTCATTTTTACATATATGGGTCAGAGTTCTCAAGATTATCCTGGATTATTTTAGATTGAAAATAACTTCAATATCTTTGGAAATATGAAAATATGATATATTATTGTAAAATATGGATTAGCTCCCGCGCTTCAAACATGATCAAATTTCAACTGAGTGCTTTTTTTGCAATATAATTTCCAAACTAATGAATACATTTTGTGTATTTTCAGAGTACGAACATGTGGATGCAATATTCAGCTGAAGAGTGGCCGGAAGCAGTAAATTTGGATTCTCCAATAAGGAGGTTGGCTTGGGAATTAGCCGACTTGAGTTTTGACGCCTTTCACTCATCAAACTATGATTTGACTGTATGTTATGACGCTGAAGAGGTGCGAAAAGTTTTGGAGCTAAGCGAGAAATATGAGCTGGTGTGGCACTGTGCCATGAATATTCGTATGGAAGCAGAACTTTGGATGAGTTCTGTGAAATAATAATTGAAGCAGACTTGAAACATGCCATGAATATTCGTATGGAAGCAGAACTTTGGATGAGTTCTGTGAAATAATAATTGAAGCAGACTTGAAACATTTTCTTCACAACATATCCATCTACCTACCACAGAATATCATAGAGAAATATCAATTGGAACCACATAATCCCAATTTGTTTCCCAATCCATGTTTGTCTATATCTGATTGTTTGGTAAATAAAAGGCAGAAGATAATAATTATTATTGGGCGTTTTATTATTTATCAATATCTAATACTCCTTGGTGAATTACATGTCAATCTTATTACAATCCAGTCTCAACAAAGCCATTCAGGGCATTATAGGATGAACAGCATCGTGAAGGATGAGTGCATATACTTTAGTGTTTGCTGGAAACGTCCCCTTGCGTGTTTCGAATTCTATTTTGATGTCGACAGTAGATGACTTCATAGCATCGAGTTGGTGGGAGCAGTCGATGATGAATAGTACATTGCTGCGAAAGCTACCAATATCCATCATCGGCTCACTCATAGCTTTATCGTAGTAGCTGCGTTGGAAGTTTTCATATCCAGATTTCAACGCTCATATGGGTATACTTCAGAGTTTAGAGATAGTCGAATATTCGCATGTATGAATTTCGTCACATCTTTTGATATATTTCCAGATTGATCGGTGCTTTGAAAGCCGATGATGATGTATCGATATCTTTCGAAGCTGTTGGTTGTCCTCACGCCCCATATATCTGAGGATGTATCACGAAGTGTGGGTAATTCATAGATGTCCCATATACAATAAGCCACCTTTACTTTTGCATTATCCGCATTTTTATTGATGCGGTTCGATAGCTTCAGTTTCTGACGATCTTACAGCACAGTGTGTCTGATTCTCCATTCTGTTTTGTTAATTTCCAAATCTGCATCCACTTCCCCAATGAAGGAATTTATGAATGAGCGTACAATAACCAAAATGAGCTCTTGCTTGACATTCAATACTCTTCTGTTGTAATCTTCAGCAAAACTCATGATATACTTCAAGGGTAATTAACCACTGAATACATTGCTGACGGAATCCAATATATCTTGTTTATTTACATCGAGACCCCATTCTATCGGTATCAGCGAATTCGCATGTGTTTGTCCAAATGATATCACCGTTTTCATTGTTGTAGTTATGCCGGGTTTTCGAACAACGACCACTTGCTCTCCACCCATTTCATAGCGGATTTCGTCGAAGAGGAAGGCGAGGGCGTTATTGGATAGGTAGCACTGCTTCGTGGCATCAGATGGTATGAACGATATGAATGTGACTGTCTGCAATATCGAGTATATGGTCTTGAAAATTGATTAGGATTCGGATTTCATCTGAATTTTTGTAATATGGTGATCTATATGGTTTATATGTATGCTCATGAAGGCTGATGAGAGAATGATCGAACATGGGCTTCTCGAATACATACCTCCAGTTTATCACTTGTGGTGATGGTCGCCATGTTATTACTATTTTTTATAACACACCTTCAATACAATGGATTTGGGAAAGTTTAGACTACTAGCGCTTAGCCTATATCTTGACCGTTTGATATGCATACGTGGAATGAATCGACTTTTAGATTTTGTCTTCTTCAAATGCACATATCATAGCACATAAATGCATTACGCTGATTCAACTGATGCCGCTGCTGCAATCGCTGGCTCTTGAAGCACAATCCC